TAAGGAAGAAAAAAAAAACGAAGTTCTTCAACACTTTTGGAGGATTTTTCCCTGGTCGTTTCTTTTTGGTCAAATATGGGATAATGCTACCTCCATGGGACTTCAACGGTTGCCCAAATTAAACAGTTCATGAAGTATAGAGGAGACATTTTTGTGGTGCAACACTTGGAAGTCAATGTGAAATGTGGTCCATTTTTGTAAGCGATGACAAACTAAAAAGACTGAAAATGATTGCTTTGGAGGGCAACTTCATTACATACTACACACAGATGCAGAAACTAACCAGCTTACCTGATAAAGGTATCAGGAAATTACACAGTATCACATAAGCTGAAATTCCTATCAGTTGTTTAAAACTGACAGCAAATATTCGTGACAAAAGAAGCCAAGCCCACGAGTGTAACTCGTACTGCTAACAACCAGCTACAGTTTATCAACACCAAAATGAATCCAAACCAGCTTTGCTAAAATCACATGCAGCTTTTGTTTCTTATACCCGTTTAAAAAGTAAAAAATGTTAATCCTAACAAAAAGGTCAAGACTCAAGCTGAGCCGCCAGACAAACGTTTTCTTCCCCCACAGGTTATCAGTTGTACCATTAACCTTAGACACACTTTTCAGAATGATCACACGAGTCAGATGAACTTTTTATTTACTTTGTAAATTGTATACATCTGTTAATTGTGCGCAACCAATTCTTTGGGACCAAAACTAATCCAAACATATAAACCCATACATACAATTGTCATGAAGAACGGACAGGGTGAAAGTATGGCTTATCTACTCTCCTGACTAGTCAACAAAAAGCAAACAGAGTACTGAAAAGGATAAACTGTCACGTCAAGTAGCTATATTGGTCATATTAAGTGCTTTAGGGGAAAGAGCTGTTTCCAGTGCTTCATGTTCTAGCAGATGATTTACTGGGTGATGCCAATGACTCCACAGGCCAGACGTCCACCTGCATTACCGGTCTTCAGGCTCTCATCATTTCCTCCTTTGCCCAGGTCATCAGCCTTCTCGTGGATCTAATAAAAAAAGAACAAACAATGCATTTTAGATCAACAACAATTTAGAACGTAGACAATGAACTCCAGTCAGTGTGGTCCCACATGCTACATGAGCTTTAAGCTATAACCTAGCATACTTGTTTCACAAACTTTGTTCACTGGAAATGAAAGTGGACTGGCACTTGTTCTTACCACCATGGTTCTGCCAATGATTGAGTGTTGGCCCGAGAGGGTGAGCATCTTGTCAGTAATGCTTATCTTGGCAACATTATCGCCTCCTGCAGTCACATTTCCCAGGTCTCCAACATGTCTGTAAAGAAAAAAAGTTTGCATTAAATCAATCTTAACGTTACACTTGGTCATCTAATCCTAAGAGTCACTGGAACCAAGCCTACAAAATATGTCTGCAGCTCGCATTGCCTTAAGAAAGTATTATTAGACCACGAAATTATCCATAAAAATTTCAAAATTAAAGCCTTGTCAAAAAGATGCTTTTTTCTGAAGAAAAGGTTTTTATTGTGCCTCCAACCTCCCACCGCACCTAATCACTCTTTTGGTATAACACTGATCGTAAACTCAACTTTGAACTTTGTATTTGCATTTTGCTTCCATCACATCTGTTCAAAGTGTTATGTTTCACACTTCTTGCTACAGACACCCTTCGAACCCTAAACACAGCAGCAAGTAGCATAATTAAGTAACTTATAACAGGTACATATTGTTTAATTGTTCCAGAGGTGAAAAAATTAGCACACAACAGACTAATAGTCCATGGCTGATATTCTTTGAGTGCTCATTTATTTTCAGAGTTATGACTCTAATCACAAAGAGACAGTAATTATTCAAAGTCAGTTTCAGCATTGGATTAAACTGCAAATGAAGACACAACAGTGCATCTGCGCCCTTGAATTTTTCAAATGCATCCAGAAATCTTTCTTGCATGCCGTACCCTTTTCTCTCCAACCATGTTTCCTGTCTGTGCTTTAATTGTCTTTTTTTTTAAAAAAAAAAAGATGCCCCCCAAAAATTGCAGACATAAAAGCTATTTTCCACCATTTGAAGAATAAAAGCCACACACACACTCAGACAGCAAATCAATCCCACAGTCAAACCATCTGTTAGTTGTAAACATTTGTCTTCAGGCAACACGCAAAATTATGCAAACATTCCTGAGTTGATGCTAAATCAGAGTTTACTATACAAACACACTTATACCAGAGTAGGTTGTCCGTTTTCAGTTATTAAATAAAGATATAAATAAACATTTAACAGTCCTGATAATATATTTCAAGCAACCTTATTTTGCATGCAAGCTTTAAATTTATTACTGAATCTATAAACTTTTTGCAAACATTTGCAAGAACTTACAATTGGAATTGCACCATGACTTCCTGAACAATAGCAGTACATTACGACACCACTTTTCTTCAAACTCGACTCACCTATCTGCATCGGTGGGACCGGCGTGAGTCTTGTTGTGGGGATTGAAGTGAGGACCTGCACTGATGCACCCTAAGAAAGAGAAAATGTATACTTTTATAATAAAACATTTCATATTCAGTCTGAGAGTAGGTTTGCAAACACAAAGCAATTCAGTGACAGTAACCTACAATTCCAACAACCTCAGAAAACTGACAAATTCTCAAACGTGCACACACGTATTGTCAGATACTCACCGTTTGTGTTATCTCCAAAAGCATGGACATGGAAACCATGCTCACCAGGGGTAAGACCTTTGATTTCTCCTGTTAGCTTCACAGGGGCTTTATCATCCTAGCAGATCAGTTTGACAACAACACAAATGACAACAAAAGAAATGTCAAAGCCAGGTGGCTAAAACCAGGATTATGCCAATCTCAAGCCCCACCCAAGCCAAACTGTCTGTTTCGCAACATGAAATTAACAGCAAATGGAAAGGACACTGGTCTAACTTGGTCTGCTAGACACCAAAACATACCTTACACAAAAAGGCGTATGAATTATTAAATAAATATTAAAAGCACTTCCTAATGTCTAGGGCTTGAAATACTTGCTTTAAAAAAAAACAAAAAAACATTTCACCATGTCAAACTCTCTGTGAAAACTGTCTTGGCAAAAAAGTTTTTCACTTAATATGCAACAGCAACACAATACAATAGCTCTGTTTTTATGGATGACAACATTCAGTCCAAAAAGTGCAGCACCATGTCTGATCACTGTATGAATATGCAATCAAAATGGTCCGATCATCATGCGTTAGTTACTGGATTGTGTGGAGCCTTCAATAGTTAGTAAAACCACATGACTGTGTCTGCAGGCAGTCAAACATTGCAGACTCTCTGCCTTCATGGTTGCTCTGTCCCGCGTTAACCTTATCAACAAGGCCAACTATGTAAAAGGCGACGAGGAGGAGTCAGGCAGTGACTCAGCAGAATAAGTAATTATTGGACGTCTGCCCTTTTCATTGATAGTATTGCGTGTACCTGACATTTGCTGCTCAGCCAGAAACAGAAGCGGCCAATGCCTTGGTGTGGTTCAACAACCACATCAGACTGGCAACGTTAACATCACAGACTGACACTGTAAACACTGAACCCATGCAACAGGCGTTTCCGTCAGAGACGCTGTTAATCATTAACACATCCAAGGCCCTGTACAAAGGTTATGACGATAATAACCAGGCATTGATTTCAGCCATTTTATTACCCCAGATATTCAGTGTTTGCACAAGCAGTCTGCTCTGAATTGACAGTAACAAATTGCATTTACTGACTATATGCGCACTTTTTTTTAACTGCGGTTCTGTGACGTGCACGCGAAGGCTAATTTGCATCAAATACGTGAAATCACCGCTATGTAACTTAAGCGAATTTCCCATACTTCAATGCCGTCTCATTCAAATAAAACATGCAGCTAGCTAGTGGGCTATCTAGCTAGCAAGGTCTCTCGTAAAAAAAAACGGTCTACTCAGCTGCTAGCTTGTGAATGGAGAACTTAGCTAGCTTAACATTCGAGCACCGAAGCTGTCAAGACGGTGCACGTAAGGTTAAACCTCCGGGTATTTTCCTACAAAACGACTGACTATATAGCTCGTTCTCTGATAATACTGGAGCGTGTCTTACCTCCTGCTCAAAATAGACAGTTCCGCTGGTCTCTCCGGCTCCTTTTAGGACGCAAACTGCCTTCAGCACCATGTTTGAGTAGTTTCACAGGACGACCAAGTTATCGTTGCGTGCACCGACTAGAGACAACCAAATAAATAGATGTGCCTAATGGGCGGGCTTATATCACAAAAAGCCAATCATAATCAAGCACCAATCTACACCACACATTTTGATTGGTCGCAGGCTAGTGGCTTGTAGCCTATCAAACATGTTAACCTTTCCTCCAACAGCCAGTTTCAAATAGAATATTTCTAACTAGCAACACTGATATGTAAGAAGGAATTGTAATATACTTACAATTCATTCAAAATATATTCCTGTTTATTTGTATATTTTCCTGTATATTTATTTATTCCAGTTTTCATCTATATCTGTACTATCAGTCATCAGGGATGTAGTATTTGTTACTAGGCTTTATAGCTGGCGATTATGCCTAATGAAATTGTAATCAAAGTGCAATCAATATTAACTAAAGATTTCTGCACAACCGATGATTTATCCAATACTCACCCACTGTCAGTGTAACTGGGAATCAAGTCTGCAAACACATCTTACCATCTGAATAACCTTAGAATCAACAGATCCAGGAAGTAGGCACAGAAACCATAACTAAACTATAAGCTGATCATATGAAGATGAACATTTAACTGTGCAGGATGCAAAGCCGGTTGCACCACCAGCTTTATAAAACTTCCTTTACTCCTCGTCATGAATATATTAACTGACTTCCTCCAAAATTGCAATACATATCAAACCCATTACATCAAGTGCATGAGATAATTGTACATGTCTTTATCTGCTGAATAGTTAAGAATGTGTTACGCACAGAAAGTCAGTACAAGCAAAAACATTTGGTACAAAAATAGTTTATTAAAAACAATTTCCTATGGCTGAAATATTGAAGATTTTATGTCCATGTCTTTTGTATTTTAACAAATCATAGAAACATCTGTCAATTTTCAAACCACTAGGAGTTAAAAACGTTAAAGCAAAGGGCCTCTGTTGTTCCTTCCAAGTCAAATCGTTTGTCTCAGAAAAAGAAATCACAGAATATTAACAACAATTACCATGTCACCTTTAGACTCGTCAGTGATACAAGCATATTTACAGCGGTGTCCCAAGCAATACTCTTCATTTCTTCACTTTAGTTTTTACCCTCGTTGTGTCAGTGTAAAATTATTCCAGAACAAGAGCTGCACTTGCAAAATCTGGGCTTTTGATTTTAAAAACTTAATTAATGTTTTCAGACAGCATGTCTGCAGTGACACACACACACTAAGTTCGCAAGATGTGTTTATCAGAAACCACATTTAAAAAAAAAAAAAAAAAATCAGCTACAGGGTTACATTTTGCAATTTTGTGTGGCAAATATTAATTTATATCGGGGCTTGACTGACGTACATAGGAAAAATTGAAAAATAACCTCCAAAATACAGTTCAGCTCTTTTGTCGAATTCAAAAGATTTCCATCTTCTTTCTATATATGCAGGGGAAAGACCACTATGAACATACTAACTTGTGTTTTTAAAAAAATGCTTTTAAAATGAACTTGTGTAGGATTTTCCTCTGTTGGATCTAAACAAAGCCTTCTTCTTTAGTTCTTTAACTGAAGAAAAAAAAAAAAAACAAACATCCAGGCAAGGGTGTGAAAAATTTGACTGAAAAACAGTATGCATGTTAGACCTTCCAATGGAATTGTACTTCAGTTTTACTTTTATGATGTAAATGTCAATTTTGAAAAATTGACAGCCAACATTTGAAAAAAAGCTGTAACTATGACGAACCTCCTCCATACCACAGAAACATTTTGCCCTTTCAGTGGGGTACAAGTTGCACGCAAATGGATTTTATTTTTGCATATAATAAGTATGTCTAATTCATAGTAATTTCTCAAAGGTCTCCTATATATTTTTATTTTCTAAACTTCCCATGGGCAATGCAACAAAACACAACTTTTCCATCTTTTTCGTTTCATTCTTAATTTTAGTGCACGTTATATTAAAATGCTTTGTCTGAAATGCCTCTGGCCCACTAGCCAATGTTAAGCAATGGGAAATTGACAATGCCTCTGTTTAAGTTCTTGGTTTTGGCACCTTATAAATGACTTGTGTTGTCCAATACCTTTCTAACCAAACAATGCAATTAAATGCACACACAGGGAGTTAAAAGATTCTGACAAGAACTCTGTAATAAAGTGACATCCGGATCAGTATAGTATGATCAAACAATGTGAAGTGTTTTTGATTTTGTAAATATTAGAATGGTGCAAAATTTCAGGTGTAATTCCTATTGTCAGTAAAATATGACGACCAAGCTAGATTCAGAGATCTTGTGAAAATAAGCTCAGAATTTGTCCTATATGTCCAATATTTTTTTTTTAATAATCTCAGAACTAGTAGAAAACGTACATTTTTTACAAACTTATAAAAACAAAAAAAACAATCATGTATTGAAAGTGGACTTTTAAAGACACTGTAAAAGTGGATGTCTGATTCCTCAGTTACAGCATCAGGTGTCAGACAGAATAAAGGTAACACTCGTCTTTATTCTGCCTGACAGAATGTGGGTGAAAGCATGTACAAGTGAGAATATAACCAAAAGTATGTGCACATTTTTCAGTGTCCAGAAGCACGACTTTTCCCAATTTCTACTTTTTCTAAAAATCACGAATTTTGGTTGATGTGATTTTAAGGCCACCAAAGTCCTTTGGAACCTGTGCCTTCCCGGCTGCGATACTGCACTGAGGAGTCGACACGAAACACAAACATAAAGGAAAAGTAATCACACGTCTGTTATTAAGGAGTTGTTTGAGACGGTATTCGGTGTTGGATATGATATCGCAAATTTAAAAACGTTTTTCTAAAAGAATAAATGTACATTGTTGTGACATTCTTGCTATCCCATACATGAGGGCATGAAGTAAAAATAAATTTTAAATAGAAATCATTTGTTTTCTGTCTGCCTACAAACAAAAAAATGGACAGAGTTAAGTTAACATGCAAACACTCTGCTCATACTTACAACTTAAGGGAAGGCGAAAAACTACAGTCAATAGCCAATATTTAACTACAGCCATTTTTCAAAACTGATTTTCATCGAGACACAGATGCCAATTGTATCAAAACCCATTAAGCTTGAAAACATCCATTTTCATAAGTTTGACAACATGTGTGGGAGATCTGTTTGTTTTCAAGAAACACGCTACTGCCCGGAAACTGTTAATTGCCAACTGAGAAACCAACTAGTCGTTCAGTTCATCTGCCAACAGTTGAGACTGACTATCATGGTGGACAACACCTGTTTTTTTTTTTTCTTTTCTTTTTTTTTTAATCTTTCAGTGGTTCACAGCAGTCTCTGACTGAAGAAGCAGTCTATGATGCCGCTGCCTCCTCTTTTGTTTCCGTGGTCTCACTTTGAGCAGAAGGTAAAGGCTCAGAGGGCTCTGGATTTTCTGCAACAGTAGTTCCCTCTGGGGGTGGAGCTAAAAGTTCTGATTCGGCCTTCTTTTCAGAGGCTTCTTCACCTGGTTCTTTATTGGTTTCCATGGTAACCGCAGGTGTCACACGAGGTTGCTCTGTGCTGTTAGAGGTCCGAAATCTGTCCATGTTTTCCAGTTCAGCCAATCGATCGTCTTTGTCCCACCGCGTGACCCTCTCCCGCCGCTCGGACCGCCTTGGCCTGTCCCCTTTTCCTTCTGATCCTCTGCTTCTTTCACGACTTCCTCCCTCTCCCCTTCCCCTTTCCCCTCCCTCTCCCCTCCCCCGATCCCTATCCCTATCCCCATCATCACCTCTCCCTCGTTCCCGGTCGCTGTCGAGGCTGCTTCGCCTCTCCCTCCAGTCCCGTCTGTCTCTGTCTCTGTCCCTGTCCCGGTCACGGTCACGGTCGCGGTCTCGGTCTCGGTCTCTGTCTCTGTCTCTGTCTCGATCTCTGTCTCTGTCTCTCTCCCATCCTCCTCCACGGTGATCGCCTCCATCTTCCTGCCAGCCACCGAGCCTGTCCCTCCCATCCATTTTTTCACCACCCCCTCCCCTTCCTCCATCACCAAACGGACGCCTTCCACCTCCAAAGCCTCGCTCCCTCTCTCTATCCCTGTCCCGATCCCAGTCTCGATCCCTCTCTAGGTCTCGGTCCCTGAATCCAGGCCTGTCTCCCCTGAATGGTCTGCCATCCATTTCCTCTGGGCCCTCCAGGCCACGAGGACCCCCTGGTCTGATAAAAGGAGGAGGAGGACCTGGAGGAGGAGGGCCATGGCTGTGAGGGAAAGGCGCTCTCATACTGTGTGGAGGAGGCATTCCAAAGCCTCCTTTAGGGAGAGGTGGATCATGGTGTATTATCTGAGGGTGTGGCCCCCTGGGTATCATCTGTGGGGGCATAGGAGGCATGCTGGGATGAGGTGGTCTTGGCCCATGCGGTGGGGGGAAACGCTGCATGTGTGGTGGGGGAACCGGAGGACGTTGGAGTGGGATTATACCAGGCCGTGCACCAAGCAGACCACCAGAGGGGGGTTGGATGTTCCCTGGATGCCCACCTGGAAGAGCCCCTGGAGGTCCACCTGGAAGTCCAGCTGGAGGTCCACCTGGAGGAATACCTACCTGGTTACCTGATGGAGGGGAAAAAAATACAACTTTCATTTTGACTCAGTTTTCATAACTATGGACAAAAGTCAATACAATCAATAAACAATACAAACAGCAAACATCCAAACACTGGACCAGCACTAACTAGCTCGGTACTGTATTATCACTGCATAAATACAACCTGACCATTATCTGTACTTATCCAATTAACAAGCATAAAATGTTACCCAGAATCCAGAATTTCTTATTTGTGACAATTATTTGATTGATGAGATTCCTCAAAGTTCACTGGGCAAACTACTGGTGAAAAGTGAGCAAAGAAACACAGACTGACCCATAGGTCCCATCTGGTTGTTAAAGATGTTGGGACTCTCAAAGACCTCATCATTTTTTCTGTTTCCCAGACCTGCTGGGTCCAGAGACGGGTCCTCGACCCCACCTTTGGAAGGAGGTGGGGGACCGAGGGGCATAGCTCCTGGAGGAGGAAAGCCTGATGGAAGAGGGGTAAAAGAAGTTAGGACTTTGTTGTTTTTTTTTTACACTAGTTTGATTTAGTTTAAAATTTAAAAAACATGCATTTCTCTGTTTGGTTCAGTTTGTTTGGGCTGGCATGGGAAACTACCAATGGACTAAACTGCAGAACAGGAACCCTCTGAAGAAACAACAGCAAAGATGAAGTGCCAAGCACATGCATAAAATGTATGCACACCTGCACCGATTTTCTGTGATAAATCTGAGAGTGAAAAGGTTTTGCAGTGTGCTGTGTAAATGCTTTCTTAAAGTTTCTCACAAAGAAGTGAACAAAACACATTGATCCCACACTTACTATACCCTGGTAAACTTAGAGTACAAGACATCATTTTGTTCTGCTTCAGCCTTTTCAACATTATTCACGACACATATTTCTTTCATGTGCTCTTTGTGACAAGAAGAAAAACACTTAAGAAACAATGAAGTGCAGCATTAATCGATTTCAGTCAGAGGAAATTGATTTCCACATGTAGGTCCATGAAGCACTGATGATGCAGGATAGCAGGATAATTACCCAATGAATGAGTTACCTTCAGTCAATACCCTTTCATCTTTATACCTCTGGTTAATTTATAACAAATAAAAAAAGTCACAGTCATTATCATTGTCAGTGTATCTTTTGGACCAAATGAACTCAACTACAGGTGTAATACAGACCTGAATATCTGTGTACAATTCTGAAAAAACACAATTCAAGAACAGGCACTGTGTAGAATATCATCTATACTTTTGCAAATCTGCCCCATGAGTACAGCACAGCTGTGTACTCTGTGCTGTAGCCTGTTGTACACCTCTCCGGAAATGTAACTACTGGTTTTGACAACACAGACTGCAACAACTGTGACTGGTCTGATTGGTAGTAATATGCATATTTTGTGCAAAGATAATGCTTCTGTGAAACAAAGTGTAAAATGCTTGAATTGTATCTTGCTTTTTTGCGTAAACAAAATTATAGTCATTGTTGTTTTCATGATTTCATAGATGCACCAGTGTATGTATAGACTCGGTTGGTTCTGGCCTCTTCTCTCCTTACTGCACTCCTGAAATTTTGGTGAAAGTAACTGTTCAACATTTACTATTTCCAACTCCAACATGATCTTTTCTGTTTGAGCTGCGGCTGTTTCAAGTACATTAAGGGACTCAACACAGTGGCATACAAACTCCCCTGCGAACTAATGTTGTGTTTGTGTGATTGCAGAGCACATAAATCGGCGCAACAGCATAAATGCAGACTATGACGTAAGCCACTTGCGTAGGCTACAGAGTATTCGCTGCATACACTTAACATAGGAGTATAAATCAAGCTTAAGAGAGACTAAATGAAAGCAAGATAACAGCTGTAGGAGGTGCTACCTGGAGGCATCTGCATGGGGTTGAAGCCAGGTCTGATGAAAGGAGGAGGGGGGACACCTGGGGGGAAGGAAGGCGGAGGCATGCCTATGGGACCGGGGAAGACAGGAGGCTGGAGAGAACCCACACCAACCATGGGCTGCTGCATTGGAGGAACCTGAGAACATTTATAAGAATTTACTGTAGATGTTTAATTAGAAGGTTATTTTTAGTAATTCCTAGTGACAGTCAGGCGTTAACTTTAAACAACTACAATAAAAACCATTTGCCTAAGATACTTCATCTATTTTAGTATAAGTATACAGCAGGAGGCATACAAGTAGGGATGGGTATCGTTAAGATTTTAACGGTATTACTACTTTTACAAATACTGCTCATCGGTCTGGCACTTTAGTGGTATTCTTATCAGTACTTTTGGGTTATTGTTGTTTATTTTTTGTTTTTTTTAAGAGGAAAAAACTGAACAAGTTACGAACAGAATAAAGCTTAACTTTCTCATATGTACCGTATAAGAATCAAAATGTATATACTAATGTTGTGTTAATGGGATGATCCGAGCAATGTGGACACTGTCAAAGGTTTTATTCACAAAATAAAATATTACGCAAGATCTTTCATTAAAGGTTCAGCATTGTCACCAGAATTAAAAGCTCCACCTGGAACAGATATTAAGGAAATGTCACTACACTTCTTCACTTCTGAGTAAAACTAATGCAGGACTTTGACAGTATTTTTACTATGTGATGTTAATAGTTTAGTGAAGAAAACAGTTGAAGTAACATGAAAAATAAAGTAAGAGAGTTTGTTTGCAGCCCTTAAATCACTAAATCCTGTTCTGTGCTCTGGAAGTGAAATTCTGAATGGCAGATCAGATGATGCTCTGAATTTCAGACTGGCTTAATGCACACTGACAGTTAAACAAACAGCTGGAGGATACCTACTTTCAATCAGCAGCCTATGTTCATACAATTTAATTAACTGCGTTCTGGCTGCTAGCAAACAAAATGTACCTGGTTCGTGCTGGATGAACTATGAGCTCAGCGGTCAAACTGTGAGTTTCTCTGTCTGTACGTGATGAACTTTTACTGACTGTTTCGACAGATTGATTGTGTTTCTGCTCTGACATGTAAACGACTTTGTTTGTCACCTGTGTGTTTCTGCATGGAGCTGCAGATGAGTGACAGAGCTGCTCTGCCCCAAAGACATCAGGTGTCCTGTCAGTCGGAGCTACAAACTCCAACAGACTAAAATAAACCAATAAAATGTTTTTCATTCTTTCTGTGGGGACCGCTGTTATAAAGTACTCTCTCTGGGGACCGTTGTTATAAAGTACTGTTAGCAGATCCATTAACGTCAGAGCTTATTGATCCTCCGGAATTTAAAAATGTTGCGCCGGGGCTCGGTACCCATCCCTACATACCCATCTCTCATCATATTTTAAACGTCTCATCCATACTCATCCATCTGATTGAGTTACAAAAGCAAACATATTTCAGCATCAAAACAGGTTTCTGGATCAGCTGTGCCAACGTTTTCTTTTTTAACAGAGATTCATCAACTCATCTCTAATTCAAAAAGATTCAAATACTGACAACATCTTGCAGCTGTTGTTTACCTGCACAGGAGGAGCAGCTGTAGGAGCTAAAGGTAATACTTGTGTCTCTTCAGGTTGCTGTTGCTCTGAACGGCCGTTGTGGGTGAGTTCTTCTGCAAGGTCAAGTGACTTTCTGGCTCCACTCCACTCTGGAAAAGACAACAATTTCAATAAAGTTCACAAACCATAAAGGGTATAGATTATTAAATTCAGCATTTGATTTGTCAGATAAGGTATGGTGAGTTTTCTGTGATAGAAGATACAGTTTTGTGTATGACTAACTGGATTTATCACAAGAATGATGCATGGTTAGATTTAATTTTAATTTGTATTTATGTCAAAAGTGTTTCTACCTGGTGATAAGGTGTCTACATCCAGTATGCCTCCTTCTTTCAGCTCCTCCAACTGGTCCTCTTTGATTTTAGACCAGGGTATGTAGGTGACACCCAGCTCCACATCCCAGTACTGCTTAAACTCAGGCTTGATGCCCTTGTTCAAAGCCCAAGCCATCTGGCAAGAAAAAAGAAAAAACATAATCAGTTAGAAAATTACTAGTTATTAGTACTTTTCCTAAGTAGCAATCTGTGTTTCTTACTCACCTTGATGGCTTTCTGGTTAACTTTGTATGATCCTCTACTAAGCTTCTGTAGAGCCCTGTAGGCATCTTGCCTATGTATCATAACAATATACGCACAGCCACGTGGAGGGATCATCTTTAAAAAAACAGAGAAGGACACGTAAGGAAAAAAAACAAGGAGATTAGGATTTTCATTTAATTAAGCCTGCACCCAATGTCATGTCTAAGGCACAAATTTGGTTTCAATAGTCTATTTTTTTAAAAAATCTGCATTTTACTTAAATATTGAATACAAAAATACAACATATTAATAACAAAACAGGAGCAATAAGCTGTTTGTGCAAGAACTTGAATTATAACACAAAATATATAAAGACAAATTTACGTTAAGGTAACTAATAAACACGTCATATCTGAGAAAAAGCAAATGTCATTGTTACAGGATGAGGTCACACGGGGATCAATGTAACTGATCTATAAGAGTCTACTTACATTGATGGACTCTATCTGCCCAAACTCCTCGAGCAAAGAGGCAACATCTTGCTGTTGTGTTCTCTTGTCCAACTGGCCCACCCACAGAGTTATGCTGCAAACTGAAAAGGACAAAATACATCAGCAATACACGACTGAAAGGGTGGAATATTATTTCAAAAGCTAATTGATGCCACTGAAAGAAAACCATCTTATAAATGAAACTACAAAAAAAAAAAAAACATACTGTGTACACCTAACAAATCATTTCAGCCTTTTAATGTCTATCTGCTTAAATAAATGTAACCATAAATAGCTCATGACTCACTGCTTAGTGTCTCGCTCTTGGGTGGCGGAAGGCCTTTCTGCCGTCGCTCTCTCTCCTTCTCTCTCTCCCTGCGCTCCTGCGAGCGAGAGCGTGGAGAATGGTGACGTCGGTCTCTGGAGCGTGAGCGAGATCGCCTGTGCCTAGATCGTCGTGTACGGGAATTAGACCGTGACCTTCTCCGCTTTGGAGATCTAAAGATAAGGGTGGGGGGAAAATACATTACATACTATGTTATTCGAAAAGGTCGACTCAGATATGGAAGTCTATTTTGAAACATCATATCCTATTTTAAATGCTTACCTGGAGCCTGAGTGTGACCTTTGACCATGTCTGCCATCCCTCATCGATGAATGATCCATATCCATTGACAAATCCTGATTTTATATGGAGAGGTCATATTATAAAGATGCTGCAAACCGTTAGACCTACAGCATTACATCCTTGATTACAACAAGACATTGTTTATGATCAGACTACAGATTTGTGGCATCAGAATTTAATTTTATTTGAAAAATAATAGCATGCAATAAATCAGATGCAGAGCAGACGTAGAAGCAGAAGTCTACCTGTTGTTGTTGGGCTGCATTATGGGGAGGATATACACCTGGGAAGCCTGGAGGCCCAGTAGAACCAGGGAGAGGCTGCCCTGGCATAGCATGTCCCATAGGAGGCATTGTAACTGGAAAGCTTTGTCCTGGCGGTAGACCACAGACCTGGAGCTGACCATTAGGAGGGATAGAAACCTGTAATAAACATTATGCAAACACAACAAAGTTCCTCACATCATTTAATCAGAGACAGATTTGTCCAAAGCTTTTTACCATATTTTCAAATAACTTTTTTTTTTTATAAATAGAGGGAGTGCCTTGCAAAAAATAAAGATGATATACTGCTCTGTAGATAGACTAAGTAATATGCAGTCCTACTGTGGGAGTACATTTCTTCTAGGGATAGCAATTTTACAGGAATAGTAAAAATAAAAAAAATATAAAGCAAAGATCTAATTAGACAGACAGACTTCAAAGAGGAGCTCTTTTGCAACAAAAAAAAGTAGCTCTTATTACCTGTTGTGAGAGGTCTTGCGACATGTTCATCATCTGCGGTTTAAAGTGCTCCATGTGCTGCGGGAAGGCTGGAGGCTGCTGCATACTGCGATGAGAAAAATACAACATCAGCTTCACAACTTTCATTTCAGAAAATCAATCAAAGTGTCCTGCTTCTTGGCATCACAGACATGCTACAGTACATGTAATGAATCCAGGACTTACAAGGAGGGCTGTGGGGGGATTTCATCCTTCTTTGTTTCATCTCCAACTTCCGGTTCATCATCATAGTCAAAACGGTCCAGCAATTTCTAAGAGAGACATGTAATGTATTTTAGAAGACACAAACAATGATATTTTTTTTTACCATGGCAGAGCTTATACAGTCTAGAGTTTCCCTTCACTGTAACATACTACAAGCACTGTGCTATAAAACATCCCAACAGTGCTTGAAAGAATTCTTTTAGCTATTAATAATATATGCAGATTCAAAAACACACCGTCACTTTGTCAAAGGACGTTTTCTGCTGGGTAGGCTGGATGGGCTGGGAGGGCAGGGGAGGTTGTGGAGCGACCATGCCCAAGCCGGTGGAGATGTTTTGGGCTTGTGTTTGAATAGCATGGAGAGGAGGCTGAGTGTTGGTCTCAGGCTTCACTGGATGCTGCTGAAAGTTCTGGAGCATTTGTTGCAGCTAAATGCCAAAGAGTGAAAGAAGAGTTAGCAATGAAGGTCTACGAAATGTGGCAGTGATGAGAAAAATACAAAAAAATAAAAGCTACTGCCGCTTTGCATTAGTGCGCACACACACCTGCTGACCCTGCGAGGACTGGAAGAGCTGTGCCACAGCGGCAAAGGCATCAGAGTTGTGCAGCTGAGTAGCAGATGTCATGGTGGAGTTTGCCGTTACCCCAGTAACTGGCTCTTTGGCTGGAGGGGGTGAAGAACCTGAGTGAAGAGAAACAGCATGATCGTGTGTGCAGCACATAGATGTTTTTAAAATGCCAGAACCATTCGTTGCTGCATGAATGTATCCTTATTAGATTGCTTCATGTAATAAACACTAAAAAAGCTCATGTACAACATTGTTTTTCTTCATTTACATTATTTTCACCACAGAATGCAACAACTTGTTTGAAAAAATAATTATTCACACCAGTTAGAAGTATCAAGTTGAGCTGATGAAGTTTATGGAAACATAAAAAAATGTAGAATTATATTTCAAAACAGCATCATGGCTGTACCTCATGTATCTCATGTGACCAATCACACAAATTACCTGACTCATCTGTGCCCGCAAAGGGTGCAGCACCGCTGCTCGAGCCAGCTGCCATGTCCAAGAGGGGCTGAATAACCTCGATCTTAAACACCCCATTCTTCTGCCAAAGGTTCAATACTCGCACAATCTTACTCTACAAAAGGAAACAAGGAAATATGTGGGCGAGAGGGATTTTTCATTAGACGGGAGATAATTAGTCTGTAATACTGTAGCTATGGTGCATCAAATTTCCTTTCTGCTCTTACCCTGTCCTCAATAGGGCAAAGGCAGAGGTTCTCAAAAGTTCCTGTGATGTTTTTGGTGAACCTTGGTCCAAACACATCCTTATCTGATCCAAACTGGTGTCTGGACTGCCTAACAATGGAATCCACCACATACAAGCCTGCGACCTTATACTCTGGCTTACACTGGAGAAAAAAAACAGAGGAAACAGTTTGAGTTCATTCATGTTTGGTAAAGATGAACTAGTTCATTACTGAAATTATACAGGTTTGGCTGACCTTTTTGATAAACTTTTCCACAATCTGGACCACATGTTTGTAGAGCTGAGAAAGAAAGAAGCACGCGAGCATGTTAATATCTAGATATAGGTTCAAAACATAAGAAATATCAAACAATTAATAAACAAGTAACTTTCTAATGCAAAGCTGATTCTTACTTTCATAGCTTTGATGGCTGATTTGGTGATGGAGATCATCTTTGCCCGAGATATTGGGGGCTTGGAGTCCATCAATGAGAATAACTGGACAAAGTAGACAATAGATCATGACACAGAAGGAAATAAGTAAATAAATAGACAGGGCAATGCTTGAGCTTCAAAGCTGACTATTTCTAAGACATCTGTTTTGCTCACCAAACTCACAATCACAAGACAAGCTCTTTGCAACTGAATGTGTTAGTGGCAACAAGTTGAAGAACTGAACCTGATAGCTTTGCGTGATGAATATACCCGACTTAACCAAAATAACTGATTTATGATGATGTGATTGTGTCGTTCATCTTTTATCAACCGATCTGCCACAGCTGGTGATCTGACCGTGACTGATTGAACTGATGACTTTTTTTCCCCCCAAATCTTGTGCGACTGCTGTATTTTATGGTTATATCCTAATGGAGACGTTGCATTGAAAGGTCTGGTATTGCAATAAAGCGTGCTGCCACAGTTTATCACTTTCATTTTCTACTATTAATTCATGTATTTACGCAAACAGCTCAAAATAACTCACGCTACATTGACAACATGCAGCCTTGTTACACTTGGTGCTGTTGAGCATGTTAAAGCATACTGATGTGCTCATTCTGGGACGTATGCACGTCACAACAACAATGATTTGCATTCATAAGCATCAGATACACTATGTGTCACACGGGACTGACTTTAAGCTGCAAAATGTGCTCTAAGGAACAACAAAAACTGCTACTTGTCTTAGGGTTATAATATTCTGATGCAACGAGCAAGATCTACTTCTGATAAGGTCACAAGTTTGTATTTGCCACTTACTCTCAGTGGGGAAGCAAGCTAAGGAAAATGTAATGCAGGGACGAGAGAAGCCTCCAACACCATTAGAGGACTTGACCCTGTGTGTTGCCTGGACGCCGTATAAACCCTCGGGCCTTGCAGCAGCCTGGCCTCACACCTCCTCAACAAACACAAGCTGTGCATGCTATCGAAGTTACAATGAACACTCAGCTTGTAAGCTTAACAATAACAGGGGGATGTTGTGTTGCAGTGTGCGTCTGCTCGTGATGTTGCTATTAGCATTGTTACCAACACCAACGTTAGTGACCATAACTTACTCCCACAAGCTAACATAACGGCCGATGGTGGAGCCTGTGTGTTGACTATATACTGCAATGTTGGCTTGCTAGGTGGCACAAAATTCTCCCCTTCGTTTCAGTAACACTACTTTCGCTGCAGGTGTACCATACAAACACCAACTCCAGTTGAGCTTAAGCCACATAAGACGTCCAGCTAGCTAGCCCGCCGTGCAGGCCCGCTGGTTCGACCTGCACGGCTAGCCCCAGTGAACCACAGCAGCACCATGACCAGCACCGCCAGACTCGGTGAGTCCAGGCTCTCAGAGAGGCCCGGACGCGTCTTACCTCGTGGTTAAAGGCGTTAACGGCATCCATGATTGCCACAAGCTCCGAGCCTTCCCCCTAACTCCCGGTTCCCCGCTCACAGCGATGTTTATTCAGGGAAGGGTCGGTACAACATGTCCGCTCCCGGTTGCTAACGCCACTTAGCCTCGTATTGGTAGCTTTCGGGTCGGCGGGTACAGCAAAGCATGCTGGGATTTAATATTGTTGTTCCGGGTTTTGTCCACTGGGTGGCAGACTGCTGCATGGCTCGAAAGCGTGGATCTGGTATGGCACGAGGTATCCACTGATAGATAGTGGAATCGTTTTGGGGGGTGAATTTTGTTAGAATGAGACACTGCTTTTAGTTATTTTAATAAGAAAGATGTTGTTGAGGATTACAAAAGACATGCCCTGTTTAAACTCGCCTTCTTAGAAAGAATTACCACACCAATAAAAGCTCTAGATAGCTATTTGTAGCTATTTTACACATTCACCAGTTTGTGAAATAATAAATAAAAGAAAAGACAAGACAAGAAAATACTTAAATATATTTAAGTGAAATAATAAGTAGGCCTATGTGGTGGTCATGGTCAAAAGAGTTTTGAAAGCCCAATTTAAATAAAGAAAAACTGAAAAAAACAAAAAGGGAAAAAAAACAAAAATGCTGTATACATTTCAGTGGTTCACATAAATAAATGTAATAATTGTATTTTCATTATATGATTTGAGGTGCAGCAGTGGTGATAACTGCTGCATCGCAGCAAGAAGGTCGCCGGTTCGTGTCCCGGTGAGGACACCCAGGATCTTTCTGCGTGGAGTTTACATGCTCTCCCCGTCCAACATGGGTTCTCTCCGACTCTCCACACTGTCCAAAAACATGTTGAGGTTAATTGGTGATTCTAAATTGTCCGTAGGTGTGAATGTGAGTGTGCTTGGTTGTCTGTCTCTAAGTGTAGCCCTGTGATAGACTGGTGACCTGTCCAGGGTGTCCCCTGCCTTAGCCCTAAGTCGGCTGGGATAGGCTCCAGCCGACTGAAGTTAGATATTAAGGCACTGGAATGATTTCATAAACGCTACCAGAGTAGACAGTTCACCAGTACTCACTATTGTTGTCTTCAAGTACGTTATCATGTGGTGTGCACACACAGCAGACAACAAATATAATATTTTTTTTCTGCCTTCTCCCAGACACCAATGAGTATTACTGACCCTATAAAACCCACATGGAACCAGTAACAATTGAATCCTGCTTGTTTTTTAGGCACACAGTCCCTTACTTTTGTCATCATCGTCACTTTATATTTCTGAGATAAAGAATGAGCTGAAGGAAGAATTCTGATCTCTAACTAAGGCTAAGTAAAGTAGTGGTGCCAAAATTTAAAAATACTGTGTTAGAAGTAAAACTCCTCCACTCTGGTATCAAATTATTACCAGCAACCTGTAGCTACTTACAGCATAAAAGGAAAAATATTAATTATACTCCAAAAAGGACTCTGTCAATGTTCTATGTTATTTTATTACGTAATACTTGCAAGCAGCATTTGAATACTGACTGAGGAAGAACTGATTTAACTTATCTAATAAGCTGTCAGGTTGTTTATAATTTACTGTATGGCAGTTCACTGTATTTTGTATCATTACTCATGAAATTCTAGTGTTTTTAAGTTCTACTAAGCTGTGAAGTAACTACAGCTGTCAGGCAAATGTAGTACAATAAATGGTACATTTTCCTCTGACATGGAGTCAGCGGAAAGTAGCATGAACTTAAGCCTAACCTGAAAGGAAAGTACTTAAAATTGTACTTAACTTTAGTATTTGGATGGATGTTCTTCATTACTTTACACCACTGACTATACCTATGTTTGATCTACACTAAGTGAAAAAGGCAAAACACTTTCATCCATCCATTATCGATACACTGCTTAATCCTCACTAGGGTCGTTGGGGAGCTGGAGCCTATCCCAGCTGACTTAGGGTGAAGGCAGGGGACACCCTGGACAGGTCATCAGTCTATCACAGGGCTACACTTAGAGACAGACAACCAAGCACACTCACATTCACACCTATGGACAATTTAGAATCACCAGTTAACCTCAACATGTTTTTGGACCTTGTGGGAGGAAGCCAGAGAACTGGGAGAGAACCCACGTTGCACGGGGAGAACATGCAAACTCCACGCAGAAAGATCTCGGTGTCCTTACCAGGACGAGAACCGGCGACCTTCTTGCTGCGAGGTGATGGTGCTAACTACTGCTTCACCTTGCAGCCAAAACACTTTCATCAAACTTTAAAAGTAATTAGGCTGTTTCACTTGCATGACTCTTCTCCAAGTCAAAACATTAAACAATATGCCCAGCATTTCCAATTAACATCTTTCCCCCTTGAATAGCCACCTTTAGGGATGGATTTGAGTATTTTATTACACAGACTACTGTTAAATTGCAATGTCTAATGGACTACTTGCCATAATTTCACTGAGGAAATAAACAATGCCAAGGCAATGGAAAAACTGGAAGAACCAACATCTACTTAAGCTCAGCAACGTTGTGGGGCTCACCCATGTCATTTAGGAATGAACACATGTTCCTGTAGTACAAACAAAACTCCAATAGATGGTGCACTTACACTTTTGGTTCCATAATGGTGTCCGTTTTATTGTCTAGAAAGCATGGTCCAGCAGTCAAGTCAAACTGAGTGTGTATGTATTCCTCTCACTCCTTCCAGGGAGCCATACAAGGAGTGAACACAAAATGGCACAAATAGCCTTCAGTAACACCACAAACAACAGCCTCATAAAATACCACAGAACTGAATCAACACCTCTCTCTAAAACAGACTAAAAACACCAAATGGTTTATAGTACATGCAGGGGTTTAATGGATTAAATTCAGGTGTTATTTTGTTCAGCAATTGCAGGTTTACTAAGTAGAAAAGCACACAGAAAATCACATTAGCTCAGTTTAACCTGTGCTGAGGACAAATACAGGTAGAACACATGTCTGAAACCGTTGCCCCTCCCTGCAGGTGTCCTTCTTTGACTGATGAACACGTTAATTAGGCCAGTGAACACCTCAGTGAGCATGGGGGAAAATGAGTCTTTGTCTGCCGGTGGTGTACTGGAGCACAACTTTCTATTGTTGGTAGAATCCCAAATTCAATAACAACCAGAGCAAAGAAAGCAATGTGGTTTGGCATAGACCACATTTAATTAAGATCATTTGTTGCCATTACAACTGTACATGCCAGTGTAAATTAAAAAAAATAATAATCTTCCTGGTGCACATGGCATGGTGTGGTCATTTTGGAGAGCTATTTTACGCACAATTGTACCCAAATGGACAGAACAGACAGGTACCCAGAAATCTTATAAGAGGATTTGTTAAACATCTAATATTTGCAGTGATTCTGTTGCTGTGTCTCTCTTCCGGCTACAAATGTATTCTTTGTTCATACCCATGTTCTATCTGAACGCACCGTGAAACGCACGGTGCGAAGCGGCGGGGCGGTGGTACCGGGTGGAGTTATCCCCCCTTGTTCTCACATGCGCTCCGCCCGCTTTACGCTGATTGGATTGAAAATTGCCCCGGCTACCACCACCGTGTGTTTTTTTTTTTTTTTCCTCCCCTTCCATCCTCACACTAAGAAACGCCCACCCATGAGGACCGGGAAAGTCACTTCAAACTGAAAAACAACACGCTGCCTGCACAGACACTATCCAGGAGATGTTTGGAGAAGAGGCGCAGAGCGTGTAGCTGACCTACCTCCGGCTTGAGGCACAGATTGTTTTTTTTAAACCCCCACAAGTATTAAGACAGGTTGCGTCAGTTAGGCTACTAACTTTCCATCACTGAGTCTTCTTTTTTTCTGTGTCATTTTAATCTAAGCTCGGAAACTGCTGAGTGCGCTCGCTGGATATGCGTTGGGTGAACAGGTGGCGCAAGCTCCGGTTTCCTTAATTTGTCATTACGACGCACACGGAGCGGAGTTGACACACTTCACCGGACGATAAGCATTTAATAGGCTGCCTGCCTTGTAGGTGGGTGAGAGTCGCGCTGCGTATTTTCCTCCCTTGGTGAAAGGAGGCACTTATCAATTAAGGGAGCTGTGATGCCAGTTGCGGACAGCGACATGGTCGTGGATAACAGCCACGGGTTATATGAGGGTAAAACCCCAAATAGTGCCGGGAATGACAGCGTCCTCCCGGCTTCTCTGAGCAGTCCTGCAGCAGACATCCTGAAGAACTTTTACCACACCAAACGGGTCGGGAACTATCTGATCGGGAGGAAGCTGGGAGAAGGATCCTTCGCCAAAGTTAGAGAGGGTCTCCACGCGTTAACTGGGGAAAAGGTGAGCAGCACAGACACCCAACATGGTTTAGACAAATTGTATATTTTCTGTCATGTATGCATTATTTACCTGCAATATTTTACTTACCATCAGAATTAATAGTTCATTTAACTCTGTTGATTTCCTGTCATTATTACATTTTTTAAATGGGAAAAAAATGACACTTTTTTGGAGAAGTTTGTTCTGATTGCATGTTTAATATTTAAAAATCATGTGTTGCATACAGTGAAAGTCTGATATAGTTCTAACATAACAATTTCACTGTCAGCTGTCAATTATAATCATACATGCCTGGCAATGCATTCTTTTGTGCCAAGAAAAAAACAATTTATGTGTTTTAATTAACAGCTTAGCAATGCAATCAGTGGTTCCTCCTTGGAGAAAGTGATCAGCCCTGGTTGCAAACAAGAGCCTTTGTCAATGAGCTCATGCAACACCAGCAGCTGTTGAACTCAGTATATGGGCAGCAGGACAGCTCCACTGACCATATTTACCTATTGTGTATGGGAGAGACAGAGGGCGCTTCTTTTTTCCTAACGTGTTGGACAACTGTGCGCTCTGTGGCTCTTTCTTTTAAATTGTGAACCTCTGCTTTGTTTGCTGCTGCTGGTTGCGGTGAGCTCATGAGCTCACCGCTGTGGGCGCGCAAGCCAGTGGTAGGGACAGAGAGGCAAATTGACCGGCCTATGAGAGCGCAGCGCTGCTACTTGCATATGAAATCATGTCGTTGATAAATGAGGACTTCAGCCTCATTACGATTCCGCCAGCGCAGGGCTTTGATATGGGCAACCATTGGCCACTGGTTGCCTTTGTCTCCTCGGGCTCCCTTTTTCTTTTTTTTTTTTTTTTTGGAAAGCTGCCAAGATATTTGCATATTAGAAAAACAAGTACCTCCTTTTTTCCTATGTGTTGCTGCCTGTAAGTAAGGCCATGCCTGTGTCTGTGTGTGTAGAAAGCATGCGCTCAGTGCAGATTGTAGAGATTCTTTTGTACATGTGCGCATGTGCATTGAAATAGAAATTTTGCGAATTAAAAATGTTTGATTAGATCACCCCCCCAAACCCAGCCCATTCTGTTGCTGTGAGGAGAAAACGCTCCTCTTCCTTCACCCCCCTCCACCCCCCCACCACTCACTGTCTTTGTTGAGGATGATGCAAACACTGGCAATCGCACAACCAAACACATCTCAGCCTCTCCATGCACCCTCTCTCTCTCTCTCTCTCTCTCTCTCTCTCTCTCTCTCTCTTTCTCATTCATGTGTATACAGGCGTCCAACAGGCGCTGGGAGGGAGAAGAGGGCAGTGGGTTTATTCAAGCAAAAGAGTAGTCAGGGGGAAAGGAAACACGGGAGGATCCTTTTTTTAGCATCACTAGAAAGTCAGTCAGGGATACAGGGATGAGACCCGGGGAGAGTGTGTTTTTAAAGGCAGGGGGCCTGAAAGTGAGGAGAGGTGAGGTGATGGTGCTGTCATGGTCAGGGGGGTTGGCGAGGTCATCTGCACGTGTTTTTGATGTCTGTAACCCACTTTCCCCCTCCATGCTTCCCCCCCCATCCCTCCCCCCTTTTTTCTGTCTGAGGGGCGCCTGATAAACAACCGAAGCCCCCCGGCAGGGCAGGGCGCACCCCTCCTCCTCTATAACCCCACCCCTCCTCATATAGACTACTGTAAATACAGTGCCCCATCCCCCCCCATATATACCCCCTTCTTCTTATCCATGCTGCCTGCTGTAAACATGGCCATCTATTACTGCGCTGTGACGGCCCCACAAGGGCACATACACATGCACGCGGCCAGGTTTAATTAGCAGCTGTAAAAAGGGTTTTAGAGGTGAATCAATTATCGGAGTTGAAAGGACGAAAGTAAAAATGAAAGACAAGCTGAAGGGCGGAAGAAAGAGAAGACACATCTCACCATTTCATTAATGGATATGGTGATTAGCCTCACTGGCCATGCCTTTCCATGTCTGTGGGCTCTCCTTGAGATGATTTGTAGTATATGGTGGCCACGCTCTTGAACCCAGTCTAGACGGGATACAAGGAGACGCAGGCAAAGGATGAAATAGAGTAGATGGGTATGCTATTGAATGTAATTATCTACAAAGGGAAGCAAAGTGTTTATCATTGAATTGGAGGACATGTTCTGTGGCTTTTACGAGGAGATCCTGGAAGTTTTCTTCTCCAGCAAGAAGACGAACAAGACAGAAGAGTAATAAAATAACTAACACTCCTGCTTGGACGTCCACTCTCCTACCCTGTCTAATCTGTTTCAGAAATACTTCATCGTGCCACAGTTTTGATTCCGCATTTGTCACGGCTTCTTATGTGTGTTTAGCCGCAACTTAACTGTGACAAATGGGGGAATATTAGCCATCCATTTGGCTTTGGCACCTTCTCAATATATAGGGTAACATTTGCTTTTCCTCGAGTTTATGATGGTCCAGTAACTCCTTCAGCTCGAACACACACTCACACCTCCCCCCCCCGAAGCCTCAGGGCCCTAGAGCGCCTGGGTTGCCCCACACTAAGAGCAGCTGTGAGGGAGAGGTCAGTGTCGAGTTATACACCCCGCCACAGAGATTGGGTAGCTCGTCACCTGTTACACCACGACTCCCTGAAATCCTTCCTTCGACACGCAGCCGCGTACCAGTGCCGTGTCCTCCATGGGTATTACTCACGATATCATATGTTGCGAGGTTTAAAACTTCAGCTGTCAAGTCAGTGCTTTGTCAAAAATAACCTCACTTCATCCTCTTACTCTTTCCTCTCTTGTAATTCTCCAGGTGGCGGTGAAGGTGATCGACAAGCGGAAGGCCAAGAAGGACTCGTATGTTACCAAGAACCTGCGGCGGGAGGGCCACATCCAGCAGATGATCCGCCACCCCAACATCACGCAGCTGCTGGACATCTTGGAGACGGAGAACAGCTACTACCTGGTGATGGAGCTGTGTCCCGGTGGGAACCTCATGAACCGCATCTACGACAAGAAGCGGCTGGACGAGAGGGAGACTCAGAAATACATCCGGCAGTTGGTGTTGGCAGTTGAGCACCTGCACAGAGCGGGTGTGGTGCACAGGTAAAGAACAAAAAAAAAAAAACAATCAACAACAATATACAAATGATTTGCATAAATGAATCGGAATGTATTGGCAGACATCTATATATCAGAAAGCACGTGCTTTGTGGGTTAAAGCTGGAAATAAGATCTCTGTCGCATGTGATACACTTTCTCAAAGTGTGGGTTAAGACCTTGTGTACATTAATATTAATCTACATACTGGAGTGAGAATTTCTTTCTTTTCTGTCTTTTTAAAAAAAAAAGTAATTCTAGAGCAATTTTCTTCTACTTTGTTTTCTGCTACTATATTATTATAAAATGCGTAATTCAGTTTAGAATAAACAACATATACACTGCATCTCTAAATCAAATTTCAGCTACATATTTCGCCAGGCTCTTCCCAGGAAGATTCACTTCTTTGTTGCTCAAAGCCTGGGAACTAAATTTCTATCACGGCGAGATGGCCTATGTAGATAACTGTGTAACAGGATTTCTGAGACTGAGGAGGGATTTTTGGAGACACACAATAGACTATGAAAATCAACCAGCTTGACCCACATTAGGAGGGTCATTGTGTGCATGTGTTGGGGTTGAGGGGGGGGAGTAGAGTCCCGTCGAACTCCTTTGTATGATGACGAGGGCTTAGATAAGTTATCTAATGCTAACTCTGACTGTGCAGACACTGACATCTCCTTTGTTTTTCTTTGTCTTACAGAGATCTGAAGATAGAAAACCTCCTGTTGGACGAGCAGGACAACATCAAGCTCATCGGTAACTTGAATATTGGCTGTTTTTTTTTCTTCTTCAATGAAAAGTCGTTTCTTTTTAATTTCTTACGAGTAAAACTCGATGCTGAAATTCATTTAAAATACAAACATTTCCACAACAAATGACAAAAGTCAAATTAAAGCTGTTTGTAATATTATTTATATTATCATTTACGTCAGCCGTGACACCGCTAAGCAGCTTGTTTGATGTGTGAACTGAAAAGACACTTACTCCAGCTTTTTTCTCCCTCAGACTTTGGCCTCAGTAACTGCGCTGGAATCCTGGGATACTCAGACCCCTTCAGCACCCAGTGTGGAAGTCCAGCGTATGCCGCCCCAGAGCTACTCTCCAGGAAGAAGTATGGGCCCAAGGTGGATGTCTGGTCAATGTGAGTTTTTACAAATGTAATCAACTGTCAAATAACTATAAAAATAAATATATTTCTTTATTTTCCAAGTGCACCCGGAGTTCAAATGTGCCCTTTGTGTCTTCCAGTGGCGTGAACATGTATGCGATGCTGACTGGGACGCTCCCGTTCACCGTGGAGCCCTTCAGCCTTAGAGCTCTGCACCAGAAGATGGTGGACAAGGAGATGAACCCTCTACCTCCGTCACTCTCCACTGGTAAATATCAACAGTATAAATGCACACCAGTTGTGCGCGTATAAGTCAGACGTGGCAGGGTGTGCCTTTGTTGTGAACTAAACGTGACTGATTGGTTTCAGAATTTTAGAAGGACAAAAGGCCTAAGAACTTGTTTCTAAGTAATTTACACTCCTTTATTGAGATTCTATTGTTCCTCTATTTAATCTTCTAAAAATAAATGCTGCCTTTTCAGACACCCTCCTCACCTAAACGTGAGCAAACAGCACGAGAACTTTACAGAGAAATTTAACAGAGCCGCAATGCCCACTAATCAAACATACACAGCAAACAGAAAGCGTTGATACAGCCGTTGATGTGTTTCTACGGAAAGAAATTCTGAGGGATCAACACGTCAGAAATATAAAACGGGGCAGAGTGTGGCTTCACCTGTGTCGTAACGAAAATGCCAGTATAGCTTGTCAGAAATTATCAACATGAGTTGTTGAAAGATTGTAGTGGCGTCGTTGGCACTGCATCAGACAGACTGTGCGACGGTGGCTTTTCTTAGTGTGCAAATCAGAATTCTTGAGATGGTTACTCACCCAATTGTGGGCTTTGTAAAAACAAAATTAAAAAAATGTTTCTTCTTTTTTCTTTTAACTAATTGGAGTCATGTTAAAATGCAACATAGAATTAAAAAATATTTTCGAAGGTATGTTTAAAGGTAGCTCATTAGAAGCAATGTGTGTGTTGGGGGGCGTGTTTAGGTAGAACAGGTGTCTGTTTCAGTTTATTGGAAGGTGCGGTGTCATACTGCTGTCAAACCTCCTTAGCGTGTCACAACAATGCTACTCGCTAATATGCAAATCAAGGGATGGCAACCCACTTATCTAGCTATCAATCACGCTAATAACATCCCATCTGAGTCATAGGAGGATAACAGAATGAAAACTCTAGGAGGATAAGAATGAGCACAAGGAGTGTGTGTGTGGGCCAAGTTTGTGGTCTGTGGGTATGAGCTCTGTCTCGAGACAAAGTAATTGTGAAACCTGTAATAACACGTTTGAGCACTGGGAACGTTTCCACCTTATGAAATGAGCGTGAATGTTTATTCTCTCTCTCTCTCTCTCTTTCTTGTCTCAGCTGCCATCTGTCTTCTAAAGAAGCTTCTTGAGCCAGACCCCAACAAGCGTCCAAATATCCATCAGGTGATGGCTGACTCCTGGCTACAGCTGGCCAACAAGAACACAGGGGCTCCATACCTCAACAGGTAGACTCGCACGCATTTAAAAGATTGTATTTTGCATTCGTAGGTAAACTACTTCAGGTTATCTTCGGCCATTTGTATGAATCAAAACCTTAACTTTCTCATTGTCCCTTCCCTTTTCTGTGTTAAGGATCCACATTGAAGAAATAAACCACACGGTGTTGCTGCACATGACGGAGAAGATGGGCTACAAACACAGCGAGGTGCTCAGCGCTGTCCTCACCAATCGCGCCTGCCACACTTTGGCCGTCTATTTCCTTCTAAACAAGAAAATGAAGAGACTCTCCAAAGAATACAGGGTAAGGACACCCCTTCTTGATGTATCACATTGTCAGACAGTAACGCAACTCATCTAAACTCTTACACGCAACATACCCACACGTTTCTTAGCGTTGACCCAGTTCTGAAGTTTACAAGACTGGAGGTGTTGAAGGTTATAAAATCTAGTTGCACAGCAGGTAAGGCTTGTTTTTAAACTGCTGCTTATTATTTCTGCTCAGGAGATGCAGTTCCAAGAAAAAAAGAAAGGCGAGAAGCAGAAGAGTGAATACTTCCAGACCCAGTGGAGGAAGCATGTCGACAAGCTCACCATCCCCCCAAAACAGACGCCCGTCTACCTGGCTGTCAGCAAGGGGCCCAGCAAGGAGAAGAAACACCGAACAGGTGAGGATTCAAACAGTACAATACATTTTTATATATAAAGATAGTTTTGTTTTAAAAAGTGCCACTTCATTTATTGTGTGTTTTATTTACCTTTATTCATACAGGGTAGGTTGACTGAGAATGCATGTTCTTGTACAGCAGCGACCTGTATCACACATACGTAGTTACCCACTCATCCATCCTCCATCCATCCATCCACTGTTTGTCTGTCCATCCATCCAACTACCCACCCATTCATCCATCCATCTGAGAGGAAACATCCTGGTGGACAACTTGCCAGTCAGTCGTGGGGCAAAGACTCAAAAACTTATTCATAACTTAATGTACCTGTTGATAGTAAGATGTATTGACTGAAAAAGCATAGTACAGAAGTAAGTATGTGATTTGGAATTAAGCTGAATGGAATGTCGCAACACAATATTAATTCCGGTGAGTTGACTCTAGGTCAATGATTTTCAACAAAACGTGCCACGATCTGATCAGGTCACACTCCTTAAATAAAAGTTTGCAGAGTGACAGATGAGCATTGAGGGCAGAGCTGAGGCCTTCCCTCCTCTCCCTCTTGCCATTTACTTGCAAATGGTACTGAGAAACCCCATAGGCTGTTTCTAGATCCAGCATGTCAGGATGGGCTGGTCTTCAAAATGTAAAAAATTAGGACAGAATGTTCCTTTGTCCTTACACCTGGCTGTTAAATGCTCTCAGAAGATTATGTGCGTCAATGCTCTGACATGACATATGCAGCTCTGACATGTTTACTAATCGCCTATAAGTATGTCAAAAGCTGCATTTCTCAGCCTTTCATTCAGTTGCACAATAAGTTGAGCAAAAATTACATTTGTAATTAAAAATGTGACAAACAAAATGCAATATTTCAGAAATGTTCAAAAATGTTTCTCCTCTTCTCTTCAGGTCTTTTGCGTGCCATAACTGGTGGCCATCGTAATTCGCCCCTGGCACCACCCGGCACAGTTGCTTCTTCTTCTATGGAGTATCTAGAGATCCATCCTTTATTTCCCAACACGCCGCAGCAGCGGAGACGCTTGGCCACCCTGCCGCAAGTCAACACGAGCCCAGAACACAACATTCCCGCTCCGCCAGCACCATCACCGATCGGCATGCATTCTTTCGGCTCGCTGTCCAAAGCCGAACAAATAGAAGACACCCCGTCTTCACCCTGGTACAAGCTGACCAACGGGACTCTGTCCCCGCCCCGCCACGTCTCTGCCTTCCAACCTGACTCTTCTTACTTAAAAAAGGCCACAATCCCCAGTCCCCCTGTCCTCATTGTCAACCCGCAGCCTAAGAAGAGCATCTCGTCAGAGTGGTGCGGTTCCTCTGACACCAGTGGAAGCCCCCCCAGCACCATAGGAAGCCCTCCCGGCAGTTCAGCTTTCAGCCCACCGAAGTCCGCCTTCAGTCCCCTCAACCCCACCTCAGCGTTCAGTCCTCCATCCAACAGCGGTAGCAGTGATCCCGAGAGCCCAACACACCGCAGCAAGTTCCCCTCTATGGGAATTGGGCAGATCCTGAAGAAGAAGGTTCAGCTGCAGCCATTTACATTCCGACCAGAGCAAGTTGTTGAGGAAGTGGTGTCCCCACCTCCCTACCCCATGCAGACTCTCCTCTGTGCTTCAGGTGCACTAAAAACCCTCTGCTGAGGGATACAAGAAAAAAGAAGATGAAAGAAAGACAGACTGAACTCAAGGCCCCTCTCAACATTTTGTTGAAGTTAGAGAGGTCTTCCAGAGCGGCCTTTTGAACTGTGAACTGTCCCTTTATTGCGACTGAGCCACTTTTCATGACAGACTTGATTATTAAAAAAAACTAAAAAAAAAACAAAAAAAAAAATTAAAAAGACAAAAGGGCGAGCAAATACAATAATTACCTCTTGTTACCGCTCTTATGTAATAAGAGGTGGTGACGTTGAGAGGATGAGATTTGAAACGGATCCCTGAGCAATGACTAAACCTTACCGTGTCCTAGATACAGAGTGGACATGGGACATCATGTAATATGGGCCTTGCCAACAAATGTACACACACATGCACATACGCACACATGAAACACTGTATTATAGACCAAGTTAGAGGTACTCTCTTATGTAATTTTACTGTAACTGGTTACTAATTGAGTCGCAGACTGATTCACACCAGCTAACACACCCCAACTCTTACCCTAACCCTGATTACATGTATACAATAAATGTGTTGTCTCTGTGAAAATTGTATGATAGCTACTGACTTCCAGTCGGCTGGCACTGTATCCTAAAGGCTGACTGGAAGAAGCTCACTGCACTATTCTTGAAAACCAAAACCTATAGTTACAATGGTGTTTACCATCTTTTACCTCACTGCATTATTCATACATTAATGTATAACGGCAGTCAATTGTGACATGCTTGTGTGGATTGTGCCACAGCGTTGCAGTGTCTAAGCGTTGCCATTAGAATGAACACACTGAAAGAGCGTAGGTACCAAGAGTAGAGTCATACTCACTTTTTATATTGTTGTCTGTCACGCAGCACTGATAATTGACGGTCATAAATTATTAGATGCCAGTGTTGCATAACCTGCAATGCTGGCAAGAATAATAAAACACATAAAAAGTTGTGTTCAAAATAGAATATACCTGTTCAGCCAGTAACAAACAAACAAATAGAAAAAATAGAAACGCAAAAGCCTTATGTAACTGATTGACCTCACAAAAGGTTGACGGTATGAAAGTAGGAGCATCTAAGAAAATAATTCACTTCCTTTTGTCTTAATGCTGTAGTTTGTGCAATAGTCTTAAGTGTTAACTGCAATGATGAGTATTTGCCAAGAGCTCTTTGAGAGTGATGTGAAAATTGTTTCTGTAAATAACAACTCCTGTGCTCCTTTCACTTACACTGTTCCGTGCGAGCGGAATTCTAAAATGTCTATCGAGCTCACATTTTTCACGTATTAGTTGACTACGAAAAGGCTTCCACAGGCACACGAGGCTTCTCACTGTTAAAATGCTGTAGAATCTCTTCCTGTCCAAACGAAAAGTTGCATGAGTCGAACTGTACTGTCAACATTTGAAATTATGTCTTTGTAACTTTTTTCTGATTGATACTGAGATTGATACAGACTCGGGGGGTCTTTTGTAAGATTTTGTAATGGATGGTTTTGTTTGAGTGTCAAGAGATTTCTATGCTGTATAAAGTATTTTAAATATTTATAAGGAATCCTTTATGCGTCTGTCTGGTCTTTCAAATGCACCTGTGTACTGTCTGTCTGGCCTCGTTCTCGCACATCATATGCTCTGTGCCTACACAGCAATATACACACCATTAGCTGAAAATATATAGAACTAATACGCTTAAATTACTTTCAGTAGCAGATCCACAGAATCCAACATTCTTGGTAATTTATGTATAATTTACACAGAGCCTGAGGTGTATAATTCATTCCTAAAGCTCTCAGCTCATCCAGGACTTAATGCAGATTGGCCTCTCTGCTACAGGAGGTTCCTTTACAACCTCAGCGTGCCACTTGTCTCACATACCATATACATTTCCCATGGGAAAACCTGTGGTGGGTAAAAAAAGAAAAAACACTCCTTGCAACAGCTGAAGGACTCATACACACACACACACACACACACACACACACACACATATACTACAACCCCTCCCTTCCTCTTCATTAACACACACACACACACACACACACACACACACACTGTAGACACTAATCTACTCAGCTGTGGCTCCCCTGTCCCCATAATAAACCTCTTTGGGTGACACTGCCCTGTCGAGACAAAGAAGGGGGATCACCAGAGCTCTGAGACAAACATGCACATACATTGGACAACACAAACAGGGATGTCCGATTAAATCGGCGTGGCTAAGCTGATAAAAGCGGAGGGGCAAGAGTGGCCCTAAAATGCATTAGAGCCAGAGCCGTTGTTTACCAAAGACAGGCTGACAGTTAGTCGGAATCCGTGGGAGGTCTGATGAGACAAACAGGCTATGATCATAAAAACTGTGGCTTAGCCACATTGAAAGGATATAACAGGACGATGGACGGGTAATACCTGTGCCTACTGTTCAGGTGACACCTGTGCAATAGTAATCACTGATAGAGACAGGCCACCTCCTGTGATTTTTCACTCTATGGATGATCACTTTTAAAAATGTATTTTTTAATTAAATGTAACAGTCACATGGGAGATAGCGATAAGGAATGTCAGATTTGGTAGCATTTTTTAAAAACTAAATACTGCAGTATCTAAGTAATTCATCAACAAAACATGCCACAAAAAAAACAAAACAAAAAAAAGCTGTTCCACTCAAATCTGAACATTTGCTACCTTTCTGTCTGATATTAATAAAAATGTCCTTTATTTTGGTTTTGTCTTGTTCAAAATGAATCATATAAATGACCAAAGGAATAGTAACAAGATGTTTAATAAAAGTATTTGGAAGTTAGTTGCAGCCTCAGATTGCCTTTTCAGAGGTTTTGATTGGAAGAAGCTCACTGCACTCTTCTTGAAAACCAAAACCTATAGTTACAATGGTGTTTACCATCTTTTACCTCACTGCATTATTCATACATTAATGTATAACGGCAGTCAATCGTGACATGCTTGTGTGGATTGTACCACAGCGTTGCAGTGTCTAAGCGTTGCCATTAGAATCAACGCACCGAAAAAGCCGTAGGTACCAAGAGTAGAGTCATACTCACTTTTTAGACTGTTGTCTGTCACGCAGGACTGATAATTGATGGTCATAAATTATTAGATGCCAGTGTTACATAACCTGTAATGCTGGCAAGAATAATAAAACACATAAAAAGTTCTGTCACTGGGCACCGATAATTCACAGTCATAAATTTGCAATAAATCAATAAATGCAGTGGACGGCAGGTCTTTAATCTACATACAATCTCAGGAGACATTAGCGTAAGAAATCCATACTGATGAGATAAAGGAGGAAAAAAATCATTTTCCTTGACACCCGGATTATTTTAAACCTAATCTGTTTGTAAAGAGGTCAAGTAACAATGATGGTAAACAAACACTGCCCTCACCATCCCAACGGGGTTTGGGAAATAAGTAGATTTTTTTTCATCATAATCATTTTAGGGGAATATTAACAATGCCGACTGTTGACACGCGGCTATCTTGGAGAGAAATAAAAAGCAGTTACTGAGTAAAGCTTTACCATGAATTAATACGAAGAACAAATATTTAGATAAATTAGAATTGGAGGTCTTATGACTGCTTTTTTGTTTTTGTTTTTTTTGTTTTTTAAATCCATATCACCAAGCCTTATTTCTGGTCACACACACACCTTGAATGTAATGCAGCCGCTCCTGCCAGATTTCCACAGAAGAGGAACACTTAAAAATAGAAAACCAGGCTGGAGGTATTCACAATATATCACAACAGTACCTGTTTATCAACTCTCTCTTGGGACAAATAAATACATATCTGAATATTCAAATCATCAAATGGACCACTTAGTGTCCAGCAGGACTTTATTTCTGTCAATCTGTTCAGGCTTAGATCCTGATGACACTAATCCTGTTTTCAGCCCACTCCTCGTCACATATACGCACACACACACTCACACCAGGGTGTCAGTGGCGATGGGACGAGCCTTTGTGTCTGAGAAAAACAGACGATTAACCTGCTACACAGTGACGGACCCTGGGGATGTTCTCACAAACACACACGTACACAAACACACTCTGAGCATCCTGATTCAGCCTCGCGGACCAGTACTGCCTTCCTCAGCAGCTTTCACACAAGCAGCAGAGGAGAGAGTGAGAGACAGCCAGACTGTACCTGGCAGACGCCGGTGTACACAAAGACGTACGGGGAAATAAACAAGCAGATGTTTCTAATGAAGTAGGAGGCTTTGAGCACTCAGAGGGGATTTGGGTTATTCCGTCAGACGAGCCACTGACCGGCCGGCTACACCGTTCGATCGCAGACACGGATGAAGGTGATTAATGAACAGGGAAGGCCGTTGCTCTTCAGAGACGTGTCTGTTTTGTACTACAAGTAAAACAAAACTGGGTTAAGTTTCACAAAGACTCCAGCTCGTCTTATGCCCGCTGATTCCTGAGATTAACTTGGGATATTCAACCTAGCTGATACTAATTGACCTGCCATCTAGTCTGCGCGACACAAAGACAAAGATGACGTCAGGCTGCTTTAATGACTTTTGGTCAAGCATATGTTAGAGAATCAACAATGGAAAAAAAAGTAGTGGTGATCAATCAAGTTTTAAAAAAAAAAAGAAAAAAGAAAAAAGTCTGGATTCTGTACTATTTTCTTTTTTAAGTAGATAAAAAAAATTTTAATATTTCTTGTCATATTTTAAACAGAAATGGGGATGATTACATATTTTAAAAAATATATATTAGCACATTATTTATTTACATGAGCCTTCTGTAAATAAATGCATATTACCAAATACATTTTGACAAACAATGAGGCATTTAGGGAACACAGTGGACATGTGGTTTGCACAAAGCTGCGGAAAATCAAGAGTTAAACCAGGAATCCTGCTACGAGCAACTGGTGGGGTGTGGCCCTTTGTCAGAGAAAAACCAAATATTACGATGGGGAAGCAGAAAATTAGGATTCAATGAGAGAAACAAGTGTTGATTGAAATATTCTGTGTTGGAGTAATGTTGTTTTTCACCTTTTACTTAACAAAACCCCAGACACATGCATCTCATTGCCACTTTTCTCATCCCTCACATCATTACAGAGCCATAAATGGCATTAAATTTAGGTCTCCTCAAACCAGTCAAACACAAACATTTTCCCCTCTCACAAAGTAATCCTTTTTACTGCATGGAGAAAAAAAACATGCATATTTTTTCAAAGTTGGCACACAGGTGGCACTCCTTGAGATATTTTTTCCTCTCAAAAACAAGATCAGAAATTCAATCAAAGAGCAGAGAACAGCCAATAGGATCTCAGTGTCCGTGGCAATAGCAGCACCAGTCTGAGCAGCCATTGGTCCGTTGTTTCACACAGAGAAGACTGTAATTGGCTGCCAGTGTGCCGAGGCTTCATTGCCTCCATGGCAACATTGCTTCCTTATTGCTTAGGGAAGGTGAAAAGGAGGGAAAGAGGGGAGGCGACTTTCGCTCAGACACTACCTCTGCATTATTCATCCTTTGTCCCCAAGTGCTTGTAGAATGTGTGTAGATGTACTGACTGATGTGAGTGTGTATGTTTCTGTGTTGGTCTTGGTTTGGGTGGGAATGATTGGTTGAGACATACGGGGTGATCGGGGTGAAACCGGTGCAATAATTGCACTCAGCAGTGCAATGCATCCAGCAACACCGTGTCTATATATAAAACGGCTAAATGAGTTCAGAGGCCATTCAGTGAGCCATTCACTGAGACACTGCCTTCAAATCCAGCCACAAGCCCATAAGCTTTATTGCTCCGAATGGAACAACAAACAAACTGGGACATATTCTCCAAAATTAGTGTGTTACAGGGCGCAGCAGCGCACATCTGGACAGCCGGCTGGCTTACATCATCCATCATCCATTCGCAGGATGCATGCAGGTGCCTGATCCGTTAGCGAGAGCTGGATTAAGACGACACCGCCACCACGACCACCAGAAAACAACAACAACCACGCGGTTTGTTTGTTGTTGTTTTGACTGCCCCCCCCCCCACCAACAGTTGAGGGTGGGGAGAGATAGAAGGAGGAGGAGGCAGATAGAGAGACGAGGGTGGGGTTAGAGAGAGAGAAAAACATCACACTGAGATTAGGGTTGGGGGGATGCTGGTTCAGGACTCCTCCCCTACGTGTGCGTCTGAGCATGGGAAGGGGATAACGTCTGTTGACAGGCATGCCGGCCAGCGAGCTGGCTGGCTGTTCCTCCGGCAGTGCACACGATGACGAGATGGCAACAGGCACTCAGCATAGCACGTGCTCTCAGTTGCCATCGCAACCTGCCCTTGGATACAGCGTGCTGGTTGGCCGTTTCTAACTGTTGTTGTTCTGTGAGGCTGATGAAACCTCGTGGGTGAGGGAGGGCAAGCAGTACAGCATGGAGCTGCTTTCCTGCATGGTAGAAAGTGTTGCTAGGCACATTAGAGGTCAGTTTTGGTAAACAAACAGTCAGGCTTTAATATATAATCAACCCCCCCGCCCTCCATCCCTGAACCCAAAGACCTTAAACTTGCTGTTTAACTCTTAAATCCGAGAGTTACTTCTAATTACAAAGCAGGATGAGCCACTGATCCCCAATGATCTTGGTGCAAAAGCAAAGGAAACATTTAAAAAGATTATCCTGATAATTTCAAGTTGCCTCGTTTGGTTTAATCTCTAATGTGCAACTGACAGTCCGGAAATACAATTTTAAAAACATTTTCTTCAGTCGAGGAAACAGCTGAATACTTTATTGTACAAAAATCTTTAAGACAACAATAAACTCATACAACTGGGAACAAACAGAACAAAAATAAACAAACCTATGAGCTAGTGAAACAACAACAAATGAAGGGATGCAAATTGCTGCATATTTTGGAAAAATCTGACAATATTTGCAAAAAACAAAGAAAAAGTTCTTGGATTATACTTAAGAGCTACAGAGTAATGTACCTCTCTATAATGCAGCGTGTGTGTGTGTGTGTGTGTTTTTCATGGTGAAAACCGATACAAATTCTTCTAATGTTTTTGAGTTCTTTCCAACATCAGACCACAAAAAAAAAAACATGTACACATCAATCCTGTCTGGCTTCTAGACTCCACACGTGAGAACAAGAACAAAGAAAAAGTGTGTGTGTGTGACTTGGAGAGGCCAGATCAATACAGCATTGTGCTGAGTGTGCAGCCTGCCTGATGAAATCCTGCACAAATAAACATTCTGCTCATAGCGCACATTCACTCTGCACTGAGACCCACAGAGAAGACGGTGCCATGAGCCGCAGGAGCAGAGCTGGCAACATGATTGATTACAAGTGCAGGCAGTCTTTGTTTCACCACTGGTAATCAGGACAAAGCAGAGTGGAAGCTTGTGTGTGTATGTGTGTGTGTGAGTGTGCGTATAGGTGTTCGAGCACAAAGTGAGGCAAGGACAAAAAGTGTTGTCGAAGCAACATGGTTGATATAAAACCTAGAAGGCTTAATGTAAAGGTAGGGGCAAGGAGCGTGGATATTAGATCCTCACATTCAACACCTGAACAAATCACCAACCCCGACAAGTTGACGTCCATCTCTGTCGCATCTAATCACATCAGTCCTGAAGGCCAACTTCGATCTCTTCCAGCCTCTGTGCCATGGACACGACCAGCATTTTCATCTAGAAAAGATGCATGGGTGGGGTGGACAGGCAGGAGAGAAGGACACGGATTTGAAATTGTACAGTGTTGGTGATGTAAAGATGAACAGCAAAGGCAGAAAAATAAGTAAAGAGTGAGGATGTAAGGAGTCAGAAGAGGGAAGAGATGAAGGAGAAAATGGACAGGTGGGAAATGAAGGGAGCAGCAGGAAGCAGTGAAGAAGAGAGATGAGAAGAGGAGTAAAGATAATTGGAAAAGGGAGACAGTGGGGAAGAATGGCAAAACCCAGAGAGGCAGTGGTCAGGGATGGATGGGTATGAAGAGGGGGGAGGAGGGGTGAGAGTAGGAGTGGTGGTGGTGGGGAGACAGGTCAATGGGGGTAAAAGATGAAAAACCCAAACAAGTGTCTACAAGTCAGGCAGACAGACAGACAGAATACATTAAGGATGGCAGCGGGGACATCGTCGTCAGACAGTGTTGCTGAAGAAAATGCATTAAAAACATCTGAGTCGGGTTGAAAGGGAACTCATTTAATGCATTAAAGATTAAATAAGTTGGGCGGAGTGTCATTTCAGACACTAAAAACAATATCTAACAGTCAAAGTTCAACTACTGATACCAATGAAAGTTTGTCTCATATCTCACGTTGAGAAATATAAATGTTTTTATAGAAAAAAAAAGGCATGTAGCTGTATTTCAAGTTATCGGATGGAATCTATTTCAACAAATTTTACAGATTGTCTAGAAAAATAAAATATTTTGTGTGTATCTTTATATTTTCTGTGTACAATTGGTAGGGGAACATTGTGGTCTCAAGCACTGAAAATATTTTTTTTGTTCCAGCAGTGATTTCTTTGAAATTATTTTTCTCATCTTTTTTATTTAATCATTTATTTAATTTGTTAATAATAATTCAGAATAATCTATGAAACCTGTAGCCTATAAAATGTCTATAAAAGAGCCGATGGCAAGGTCCATTTATGCTTTTGCATCAATCATCATCTAAAACAGTTGCTGATAAATCACTAATCATTTAACAATAAAAAGAAGCTAAAATTTGTATTTCAACATGCACAGGATTTAAATATCTAAACACAAGTAGTAGCGCTACAAGAATTGTGTCGACATAAAATACAGTCAAAGTTTTTCATTTGAATCCAAAACGTCTTCCATTTTTGAAACTTGTTGCTAAAGAAAAATTTTACAGGGCTTTGCAAGGAAAAGCTGTTAAATACCGCTTAGAGGGGAAATGTTACTTTAAATGTTGTCCAAAGTAATTAAAGTAGAGCATCTCAGTGAGTCTTAATGATTTAGTGAAATGTATGCCGACAGGCATGTGATGACAGAAAGCGCTGATTTGAATTCCTGACATAGTCCAAGACCTTTACTATCTTGTTACAATGCGCCGATGGCTGACAATGAATGACGGCTATAAAACACTGAAAATTAATACAATCAGTGTTTACCCAGTCAGAATAATCTTCATCTTAAACAGACAGGCACTAAACTCAGTCATTGATGGGATAAATTTAAGTAGTAACGTTTATTTAGACACGATAAGGCGAGTGTTTTCATTTCCTTGTATGCTGTCCTGTTTTGCATCCCTTTGTTGGAGTGACAAAGTGAAGCAAACATTATTACACCAGTGACACAGGTTTCAATAAATGACATGCGTGATCAGTCTTTTTTACGCAATTGTTTGGGTGGATCACAAAATAGAAACAGAAGTGAAAAGATAATTATGCATAAAAGCTATCTACGTGACAGCCAGAGTACTGACATGGTATTTAACGGCTGTTGCGTATCTTATGGTCTGTTGCTCATACACCGTGCCTTTTATTCCTTCTTGCCTTCGAGGCAGTATAACCTGTTTAACATATAGTGCTGATAGCATCTCATAATACCACGGTTCAACCACCTTGAGATTAAACCCCAGAGTTTGCTGCCAAGTAAAAACAAAGCCATAAATGCCACACATACATTGAGCAAACGTGACAAAGACGAAACGTGCTGAAAACATGTTTTTCCTATAACAAAGATTCCTCAACATGCTCCCCATCATGTCTATTGTCCCTGGTGCAAGAGTGTGGGAGGGCTGGCAGGTACTCCGGCACGCTATCACCACCTACTGGCCAATGTGTGGTTTAATGGGTATTTGTTAAACAAAGGGTGATTAAGAATAACTTTGGGAATCACTACACTTTTCTGGTGAAAAACGGGAGAATAATTAAATAATGTACAAGTATGAAATTAAAACAGGAAAAGTATTAAAAATGTAAATACATAGACAGCTATATATATATATATATATATAAAAAAAAACTGATTTAGATGTTACAAAGGAATCTAAAAGGAATTATATATCTTTTTTTTTTTTTCAGTCTGTCAGAATGGCATAGAAAATTAAATTGTTTGCAGGAGATGACCTGGACAGATGAGGTAATGTCTGAAATAAGAGTCTGCCCGTTATAGCGGTAAGGGTTTCCCAGAACTGAGCTGATGTCATCCTAAGTACAACCTGTGCATTGGTAATCAATGAGAGAGCCGTCCTAAAGCAATGAGAAAGCTCTGTCTGTAGGACATCGCAACCCAGAACACAGTAACCCCTGCTACAGCTGGTTTAGTGTGTAGGTCAGATCTTTAGTGTTTTTTAATTACAAAAAATTGCAATAAATTTTAAAGTCTAAATCAACCAGTGTTTGAAGAGATACTCAAGGTTAAACTGCAGTGAGCTTAATCACAGACAACCTGCTCAGTGAAATAAGATTGTATCTCACAGCAGGACAACATCAGAGAAACCAGACAAAGAAAAGCAGCAGCAGTAATTTACCTCTGTAAGCTGTTGTTCAACAATGTTACTGTACTCCAGTGTGACTGGCTGCTCTTTGGGGCCCTCTGCTGCCAACATCTGGTTTGCAGAGCCCAACACGTAGCTGAAAAAGATTTACAGTGTAATATTAGGGTGCTAAAGAACTGGTAAAGGGGGGGTGCATGTGATCACAACACCTCATCTCTGAACACCTTTGCAACTAATGGAATTTAACAATATACGCTGACAGCAAACACAACATGTGAATCCATGCAGTAGCATTCTTTGGTGTGGTAGTTCACACAATGTTATCTTGTTTTCAGTTTGTCGTTGCAGACATACTGGGTTTGGTTTTCAGTTGCTTGTGTCCTTTAACAAATCGCCAGGATTTTTCTGACACGGAGGCATTTTTGGCTTTCCCCAAAGAGATTTTGGGAGCCCCAAAGACGTTTTATCCTGCCTCAAAGGAAAGTTACCAGCACCAAAAAGGATGAACTGGCAGGAAAAAAAAAATTAAAATTAAAAATTAACCAATTTTATCAACTGAGGTTTCATTTACTTTGGCATAGCAAACACTTCAATTATCAAATTGTCAAAAATAACAGAAAATACACTTCTGTGAAGCAAGATAACAGACTCATTGCCTTTATTTCATGTGGACTGGCCTCAAAGTTGTACAATCTTTATTTTTTAAGTTTTATTTTTACTTTTATTTGTAAAGATATGCTAAAGTTACTTGGATAAATTTTGTCAATACTATGCTAGAAAAAAGGATCCATGTTTTTAAGCCTGAGACCAAAACAATATTATTCATGCTTACTTTCCTACATACAGGTAATAGTCACACATTTTAATTGTTTAAGATAATGTAAAGATCTGAGTCCAATGCAAAAGCACCTCCATGCTTTTAAGTTAATTTCATTGTATGTACAAACAAGATAGTAAAATCATCAAACAGTACAAACATTTTGTACAAATCGTTCACAACAAACTCACATTTTGTTCCTCAGAAATCAGAATCAAATCCAAGTAGTCGACCCCCAGTGCATCACATAAAACAAATGTAAATTCATGCATGTGTCTTTAAACACTTCTATTAGTAATGATTGGTGGAAGAAGTATTCAGGTTCTTTACTAAAGTATCAATACAGCAATGTATATACACTTCATCATTAGTAAAAGTTTTGCCTGAGAAATCCTACTTAAGTAGAAGTACTTACTTAGGTTTTAGCAGCAAAATACAGTTAAAGTATCAAAATAAACTACTGCTTTGGTCCCTTTGACTGATATATTATTATGTATGACATCCTTAGTATACAATACTGAAGTATCAGTGTGTCAGCAGTACGTTGCTGTTGTAGCTGCTGCTGATGAAACTGCTTTATACACAGTTTTACACACATGGTCAGCAGATAAATGTAGGAGGTTTCAGATGATTAAAGGGAGAGGAAGAAGAAAAAACAAGTTCTGAAACACAAATCTGTTTTCAGTTTTTCAGTTCATTGTTTTTTTAAACTCATTTTTGATTTGGGTGAGATTTTGGATTGTTTGAACATTTATTGAAATTAAACCATGTGAGGAGTTTAGAGGGAAAATCACTACATAGTGGTGGTGACGTTAATTAATCCTAAATATCTGAAATGTGACCCCAACAATACAAAGTGCTATTTGTAGAAGCCAAAAATGTTGACAATCACGAGCTTTAACTTTAACAATGTGTTGGATTTCAAAACATGTTATACTACTCATTGTGTAAAATCATCATCTTAAAAGTGACTAGTAACTAAAACTATCAAATTAGTATAGCGGAGTAGAAAGTATAAGATGTTCCTGCGAAATGTAGCGAAAAAGAACACTAAATTTCCATAAAGTGAAAACATTCAAGTACAAGTACTTTGAAATTGGACTAATGTCCTTGAGTTAGTGTAATCGGTTAGCTGTAACAATGTTGAATTATCAAAAAAACTCAACGTACCTGTCGATGTCAGCTACATTGAAGCAGAATGTAAACCTCTTGTGGTCCAGACTCTTAGGTGTTGATGTGTAAACCATGCCAAGAACAGAGTGGCAGCCTCGACACACCAGATCAACAATGAGGCTGTGGAGGAAAAAAATCACAAAAGCAAACAGAACAGTTGAGTCCAAATCACACACACACACACACAAGATAAAATACCAGCAGGCTGTTGGTCAATTTTAGTTATGTTTAGCATTAGTGCTGTTGGTATGCTTGGACTGTGCTTAAACACAGTTTAGAGGTTCTTCTATTTTCAGTTCCACTGCAGTTATCTAACAGCAATAGTCACTAGTTACTTTGGAGATTAAGAATTCACACAAAAAATATGAATACCTTACAAGAAAGCATTACTGTATATTAAAATATGCAACAATGTCTAGAACATGAAGAATTAGTCACTAGCATATTCTACTCAATAAAAGTGTTGCTTGCAAGTTTAAGAATTCTAACATTAACAGGGGCAATCATGAAACATAATTCACATTTTGGTAAGTAGATTTTGTTGATGTTATTTTTCTCCCATTTAAATTCATACGCACTAAATGCCAGTTTTTTACAGTATTTATATTAAGTATTATATTGTTGTGTTGGTACTTGTGCTTAAATTGAATACTTAATTTACTACTGGGCACAATCTTACCAGAGAGAGCGTTTGCTTGCTTCATACAGGCGACTTTCTTTTCCAACCAAGACGTTGTCAGTGACCCCTAAAACCAAAACATCACAAACACGCATGTTGTACAATGCAGTATTGTAAACACACCTCTACAATGGCACTAAAACGCATCATTCCATCACACTTCTTAGTCGTATTTATTTTTACAGCAACTTCTCTGTTAGCAACTTAAAGTGCTGAAAGCAAAAAAAGAAAAGAAAAGAAAAGCATATATTGGACGCAAAAACAATCTCAAACTCTGACTCACGCTTCAGTCGTATTTGGTTCTGGCCGTCTTCACTTCCATCCCAGGACAGCGAATCTCCAACAGGCAACCTGCACTTGGCGCAGATGAAGACCACCGGGTTGTCGTCGCCGTCCTCGTCCACCTCGACGTGATGGAACAGCTTTTCTTCGACGGCGGTGGAGTCCACACTGGACGTTTGAAATGTGCTGTTCGCACTTTTCTGTCGGTATCTTAACGACTTTTCTCTGGTCGCCATTTCTACTGGGTTTCGAACTCGGCGGGTTGTGACGATGAAGGAAAACACCCCCAGAAGTGTACAACGCGAGATTTACACTTGTCTGTCATTTCGCCTTCGTCTTATCGCCCGATACAATTTGTGTTTCCTTTTTCTTTTGTGCTTTAATTTGATTATTTTATTTATATTTAATATATCCTAATGTTGACTGAAATTATGAAAGTGAGGCACATATACATAATTCTGTATTCATATTTCTGTTTTAGGCTTTTTCAGTTTATTGAAAGTCGTTCCTTCATGCGAACCGACGTGAACTATCTCATCTCCATTTTTATCTTTGTGAGCAAAGCGGAAGCGTGAACTAGCGACGACCTAAAGCAGCATATACTTTTTTTGATACTGACAGTTTTTTTTATTTACTAATATTTTTTTTCAATACCTGTTTGTTTGCATGTATTTAAATCAAATACAATTTTCTGCGTTTTTAGTATGTGTAAAAATATAAATAGTAACGGTCCCAAACATAGTTTTGCTCCATCCTCTCATTGGCTGTTAACCAGGAAGTTATTAGGATGATTTTGGGTGGCGCGAACAGTGTTGTAGTTTTTCAATTGGTTTGCTGGAGCACCTAAACGTTTTATTAGGAAGCCAGACATTTAGTTTTGTTTGTTTGTTTGTTTGTTTTTATCGGCTTCTTCAGTCGCTATGTGCGAAAAGATTAATAAGGTAATGTTCAGTCTTTCGCTAGCATAACTTGACTGTCGTCGTTGTCTCTTGTTTACATCCTTCTGTTCAATGACATGGCTTCTTCAGGTGAACAGCTGGCTCAGCAAAGTGTTTGGCGATCAGCCGGTGCCACAGTTTGAAGTAAACACAAGAACGGTGGACGTACTGTACCAGCTAGCACAGTCCAGTGAAGCCCGGTGCAGTGACACAGCTCTCCTCGTAGAAGACCTCAAGCAGAAAACATCAGAGTATCAGGCTGAGGGTGAGTAAATACAGTGAAATTTGCACTCAAATTGGTATTTTAGACTTAATTTATAAAGAACAGTTTAAATGTGAGCTACTTCTTTTGTCGTTCTTAGCTCAGAATTGGTCTACCAAAAGGCCATATTAGCATTATAATGAAAACATTTCTGGAAATACTGCACAACACACATATATACCTGCATACACATATTTCATTGTCCTGCAAAAAGTTTACGGGAATAAAAGTAAACAAAAACAATGCCAGAAATATGTTTTGTTTATGAATTTTCTAAGCACCAAAGTGCTGTAAACATAGAAGAAAATATATCAGTGTTTGGTGTAACAGCACCATGTCTCCTTGATAGACCGACAGATAGCACCAAGCATCTTTGAGATTCAGGATTCTTAGTTGATTCTGTCATGCGGTATGTGAGCAGTTGTTGTCATGCTGCAGAATATATTCGAGACCAAAAGGATGCCTGTCTGATGGTGCTGTGTCATGAATAAGAATGTAAACATCTAAAGTGCCTCAAACTCTTGCACAGTACTAGGACTGCACAATGTTGGAAAAAAGAACTGACACTGTGATCATTTGTTTTTCTGCAAAATAAAAAAAAAAATACAGGAATTTTCACCAGATGACTTGAAAAACATTTTTTGGAAAGAATTAAGCATTTTAGAAAGAGTGTATGACTTTGTAAGGGAAGTGCATCTACATATATTTTTATTATTCTTTTTAAACATAAAAGAAAAAAAAGTTGAAAGAAAAAGCAATTTGAAAAAAAAATCTGCCATAGTGTATCACTGGCAAAGGCATTCAAAATATTTTTTTGCTTTGGCACTCAGATCTAGTTTTGCACTTGACATATGGACCTTTGTGGTACTGATTTGAACGATCAAACAAACTAGTTGCGTTGCCTTATGCAATACTAACATCTGCCAGACACTACCAACGGAGTGCCTGTTTTTGGTTAGTATCAGATTTCCTGTAACTGAAACTACTTCCATACAACTTACATTTCTTTCTGCAACAAAATCTTCTTTTAGTCTTTCTCCCGTGTTTCTCTCTCATTTTGCTTAGCACATACGGAGCCTGCATGGTCAACAAACTCTGTAAATAAAGTTTACAAAAAACTCCATGGACTCCTTAATTCAGAGCCCAAGGGTTAACCCTAACTAAGAAGTAGGATCAAGGTTTTGATAAACCAACAATAGTAATTGTATTTTAATTTTGATTGACTTTACTGTTTGCTGTTTAGTCAAATGTGAGAAAACATTGTTGTTTAAGTCACACGACAGTATTTCACAGAACCCAACAATGTTTTCTCCAACTAGGTGCTCATCTCCAGGATGTTCTTCTACAAGGTGTTGGATTGTCCTCTGCAAGCTTGTCAAAGCCCGCTGCTGACTACTTGTCTGCTTTAGTGGACAATGCTATGGTGCTTGGAGTGAGAGACACATCACTGGGGAGGTACACAGTCATTACTCTGTTCTTATCTGTTTTTTTACTACTATTTTCCTTGGAATAGTTTCACAGATTTCCTAAAGGATGTCACAAAACGGTGGGTAACGTGGGTTTTTATATGTCTTGTGTAGCTTTATGCTAGCAGTGAACAACGTCACTGGTGAACTTATGGAAGCAGAGAAGTCAAACAGAAGACTTGAAAGAGAACTCAGGGCCCTCAGGAAGAGACTTGGTGCTACGCTGGTGCTGCGGGGCAACTTACAAGAGTAAGAACTTGTTGGCATTTGCATGTTGATACTACTACATTCTTACAGAAATAAAAAAAATGATCACATACTGTATATCTGCACATAAGTGAACAGTTTGTGAAATGAACAATTTGCTGCTGCATCTGTAATCTGTGTTCTTAATTGTCAGGGACATCAACAAAACTGCCAAATCTCAGGCAGTGGAGAGCGCTAAAGCAGAGGAGAGGCTGCTCGACATGAATTTTGTGACGGCAAAAGCTAAGGAGCTCAGCAATAGACGGGAGAGGTCAGAGGTATGTAGTGGTGTTATACCTACACATGTAATAGCTGCTTAACGGAAGTTCTAAAGTTAAGGTGTTAATACATTTTGCAGTACATTACTATATCCGAGACAGTGTGAAAAAGAAGGGCTAGTGGTAACAGTGCCTGTAGCATTTTAGGAGACGGCAGAAATCATCCAGATAATTAAAAGTACTCTTTTTGCATCTCTTTCTTTTTCTTATTAAATATTCTTATATTAGTCAAAGGGTTTTGCTCTGGGTGAGAAAACTAAACAAAACTGCACTACTGCCATCTTGCCATGCCGATATAGATTATTGGTGCCCTCAGCCACCAGCCAGTGAAAATGGCAGTCAAGAAACTCCCCAAAAAATCAATAGTATGCACAAACCAATGGCATAAAAATATTCATTTAGAAGGATGAAAGATGCAGAAGATGATGAAAGTCCTCTGGAGAACCGTGTGAAAAACTAGCAGTCAGTAAGAAGACAAACTGTAGGGTTCTAAAACTGAGTGAATGATAAGTATAAATAAAAAATGTGGACAAAATGTTTTCCTCTGTGGTATTATCAGTTTTGTGTTGTTAAATAAAACTGTATTTTGACCCATGAATAAAGGTTGAGTCATGTTGCTGCCTCATGTTCAGAGACGGCACTGCTGCAGACATATCCAATCACATAATATAAATATTAATTCAGTGGTTTGCTGTTTTATTCTGCTCCTTCAATCCTACAGGCCGAACTTGTATCCAGAAACATGGACAAGACTATTACCCATCAGGCTATTGTGCAGGTCTCTGAGGTAATTCAAGTGTTCCACACGCACCCCGGTCATCACCATGGAAATGAAGACGTAACACTGTCTGTGCTTTCAGGGTTTGAAATGTGTCATCTTATTTTTCTCTCTACAGGAAGTCAATGTGCTGAAGAAAGAAATAATCCCCTTGAAAAAGAAACTGGGGCCGTACATGGACCTGAGCCCAGTATGTTTGTTTTCAGTTTGCTACTGACTTTTCAACGTCTCCATAACTACAACCAAAAACACATTATCACATGATCCTGTTTTATTCTTTGAGAAGTTGTTGCTATTATGTGTGTGAAACTGGCTTCCATAAACTAATTTGACAGAAATGGTCGAACCATGTTCAGACATTTGGGAGCGAATAATGTAACCGGCTTTACGCAATGTTTTTCTCCTCTAAACCACTACAGAGCCCTTATCTTGCTCAGGTGAAAATAGAAGAGGCAAAAAGAGAATTGGTGAGTATCTTGAAAGTTCGTTCAGTAATGAGCTATATTTGGTTGTGTACTTTTAATTTTAATTGAATGTTTTCTCAATTACAGGCTGCGCTTGATTCCCAACTTGAGATGAATGTTGATTTTAAATGAAGATGTATGTAATGACGCAGTCATTTTGTTTTGAAGCTGCACACTTATTCCATTTGAAAAATAATAAAATAGTCATTTCTATAATGGGGAAGAGTCTGGGATTATTACAAACAAAAAGAAATAGTCTCGAACGCTTAGAAACCATGACAAAGAATCTAAGACACTCAAAAACAAAGACAAATACATTCTGGAACACTTAGAAACAACAACAAACACAATGGAACATTTAGAAATGATGACAAATAGTCTGGGATACTTAGAAACACACAACAGTTCTCTTCCTGGTATCTTGGCTGATTTCTTTACATTTCCCATGTTGTCACAAAAGGAATCAGTGTGTTTGAGGTGTGTCTTAAAATACATCCACAGGTGTTCCTCCAGTTAACTCAAATATTGTCAGTTAACCAATCAGAAGCCTCCAAAGCCATGACATCATCATCTGGGCTTTCCCAAATAGTTTGAAGGCACAGTAATCTTAGTGTATGTAGACTTCTGACTTTGAATAAAGCAGTAAAAAAATTACCTGCTCATGATTCTGGCATTTAGCAAAGAAATCCTTTTAGTAATCCTGAGTGATGTAAAAGAGGAAAAGTTTAGTGGGATTACATATCAGATATTGAGAGAAAAAAATAAGGTTTTATGTCTTTTTATATCGTGTATGTAAACTTCTGTTTTCAACTGTAGATAGAATGAGAAAAACTGAGGAAGAGACAGCCCAGGAGCTCAACCGGATAGGACTGCGTCCCATGAGCAGGGCCTATAGTCCCCGATACAGCGGTCGTGAGTTTGAATCTCGCTCATGACCATTTGCTGCAGGTCTCTCCCCATTCTTCTCCCCCTTTTCCTATCTCAATCCACTTCTCTGAATAAAGGCAAAAAAAAAAAGAAAAAGAAAAAAATCAGGAAAACTTAGAAACACTGAGAAGGAGTCTGGGATACTTGGAAAAAAAAAGAAAAAGAAAACATCTAGACCACCTATAAACAATGGGAAAAAAATACATGATACTTTCAAACAATGAGAAAGAATCTGGAACAGTCAAAGACAAAGAAAAAACATTCTGGAACACCTAAAAACAAAGACAAATACAATGGAACATTTAGAAACAATGACAAATAGTCTGGAATACTTAGAGACAAAGTGGGAAAAATCTAGAACACCTAGAAACAATGGGGAAGAGTCTGGCATAATGCCAAACAAAGGGAAGTAGTCTAGAATGCTTAGAAACCATGACAAGGAATCTAAGACACTCCAAAACATTCTGGAACACTTAGAAACAACAGCAAACACTGTGGAACATTTAGAAACAATGAGAAACTGGTGAGGCTTCTTGTGATGCGTTTCGGCAGCTGGTTTTTGTCCACTGCTGAAGATCCTGTCAATCTTAAGGTTTTTTTCAATGGGGAATTAGGATCAAAGTTTTCTAAGGTTTGTTAAAAATATAGCTTTTATGCAACCGAGCTGTTCAGTGTGATAATCAAGCTAAACCTACAGAATCTTTTTGTAACATAAAAAGTTAAGACTTTGTTTGCATTCTGTTATTAGGACTGTGAAAACTATAGCCAGATGACAAATTAAAGGAAAACAATTGATGAGGCACTGAGGTCACTTCTGATGTTTCATTGTAGGGTAAAGCTGATCACTCAGAACAACTATATATGGATTTAAACCCAAACCATGCCACAAAAATGCTCCTCACCAGTGGATCCTCTCACTGTAGGGGTCAGAATTTTAGATTTTCCTTTAATTAGTGCATCGAAACACTGTCAGCAGGTCAAGTTTTTATTTCATTTGAGGCCAGTAAGACCTATTGATTATCTATCTTTTTATCTGTATTTGATATATACAGGCATATCAGATACAGTTGACTAAGACAAAAAAAAAGTGTATTAAAGTTCCCTGTAGCTGTGACCAACCCTCAAACTAATCACAAGACTTCTTCAGGAGAAAATGTAAATCACGATCTTCCTGTTTGCTGCAAACATCATTACCCCTAATCAAATGTTTTGTCTTTATTTTCTGGTCGCTGCAATCTAATTGAGGGGCTTTGTTTCCAATTTGAACTACTATTAGCAACATGTCGTGAGAGTTTTACTTTGATCAAGTTTAACTACCATCTGTCCATCTGTCTGCCCAAACACAGGGAGATGACATGTTTTTGAAACGTGTTGTAAATGTTAAATGAGGATTCAGTACTAATATGCTTGGAGAAACACCTTACAGATTTAAAGAATGTACAATAATCTATTTTATGCGCATACTAACATATAAATTCCACTGTATTCTTAAATTCTTTATGTTACCTGTCGGCCTCCTGGAGATTGCCGACAATGTGGCGAAACAAAACTGACATCTTCATTTATTTGTAGGTTATTTCTGTATTTTTAAATAACAGCTTTTTCCATCATGCCTCAAACCACGAACCCATCACCCATCATTATACTTGCTCAAGTGCAATTGTTATTTTTCCGTCTGGCCTACACGTCTGAATTACGTCTTAAAAACAAAGTGCAGGAAATCTTTTGAGTTTGACAACAGAATTCCACAGGCTTTGGAGGGATAACGGCACATGAAAGCGGTTTGGGAGCCACTCCCTGGGTGCCTAAAGCTAAGGCACAGAGAATGGAACCAACTTGTCCAGTTTGTATGCAAAATATCACCCTGCAGTTCCACCTCCTCCCCCTCCTGCCAGCCCTCCCTCCCCGGAGCTGAGCGTGGAGACCCCAACGGTCTCTGTCAGTTTGACTGTTGTAGGTCTGCTCTGCAGTCTGACAAGGAGATTGAGCGGTTACCATGGAGTGGGTCATGGATGTGCATGGGCCCGGGAGCAATTTACCCAGTAGGCCCCCAGCTTTATTGAAAGGCACCATGCGTGGGGCATGAATAGTTTATGAAAAGCAGAATCAAAATATCACTCATTTAAAAACTGATGGGGAGAAAAAAACAAGCAATCGGCATTTAATCTCATCGTTGTGATCTAATTCAAGGGTTGCTGTCTTGATGAAATGTTTTGACAATGTGCTCTCGTAGTGTTTTTCTGCATTTGAAGAGTTCCTTTACAAAAACAGATAACTTCATCTTCAGAAAGCTTCAGAAACCCCACTTTTCCGTCGTCTACCTGAGACAATATCAATCAAACTTATCTATTTTTTGTCATTTATCTGTTTTTGTCACTGAGTCAAATCCACTCCAGTTTGATTGATGTTATCGCACGCAAACAACAACAACAACAAAACAAGTTTCCTGAAAATCTACAAAAAGAGAGTTGTCTGTTTTTGCAAGTGAACTCCATTTCTTCTTCTTTTCTCTCTATATATATTATTAATTTTGCTTTGGAGAGATATAATAATCTGACAAATATGAACAGAGAGGGCAGAATGCTTGTGTTTGAAATAAAACTTTGATACAAGTTTTTTTAATTGCACAAAATTAAATAAAGAGAAATCTGGTTTATTGATGACATAAATCTATATGACAAAAAAAAAAAACTGATTGGTGCCTTTTGCCTAGTGAGGCAGAAGGAAGAGAAAAGCATGAAGTGAAAGAATGAAAGGCTCTGAGGAAATGAGCAGAATGAAAGCACTTTGCCATAATCCAGAAAGTAAACATGTGCCTCATGGAGGAGTAAGAAAAAAAAAAACTCAAAGCGCCTCCAGTGCGTCATACCAGTGAGTGTGTCGCCCCTCTTCTTCCCTTTAAAATAGTTTTATCTGCCACGCCCACATCATGATTCCCACTCAGCTGTTACTGTAAGTCGCTCTCAGTTTCCACATGCACCCATTCACAAATCGTTGATCAGCAGCAGCAGCAGCAGGAAAAGTCGGATTTGGAGACTCACCACCACCACCACCACCAGCGGCAACACCACGCGTCGGATTGATCAGCTCGTCTGTCAGTTTTTGAGCAACTTGTTGCGCAGCTGTTATTCCCAGCCTCCTCTGTGGTCCATTTTACTGCAGCGAGGCGGCTCTTGTTCAGCAGCCGACAGCCGCTCTCATGCGCTTCCATCGGCTCCTGGTGTTTTTCTGTGAGATGGATGAAGCGGTGACTTTCTCACAGTTTCGGTGCGTTTAGGCCTATAAGAGAGATGAAGCTCCATGCCGCGGCCTCGCAGGATCATTTCACCTTCTTGTGTGTTTTTTTTTTTCATGAAGTCCTACAGTGAATTTCTCGAGTCTCTTTAATATGATCAAAAGAACAGGGGATGCGAGTCATGAGCTGGACGCGTCCTTGCCACGGACTGGACTGGAGCCACAGCCTCATCTGTCTGACTTTACTCCTGTGGACCAGACGCATGAATGGACTGGCTGACTTCTCAAGTAAGATGATGGTGGTGGTGGTCCTGTCAGGTCAGGATGAGAATGTTTACAGACCCCAGGAAGGGGTTTTGTCCTTAGAAGCTGTAGGAAAGTGTCACTTATAGTAGGTGTGCTGTGGTACCACACTCTTCTAGCTGGTGTAATAATAGCTGCATGTGGGGGCAGGGGTTAAAAAATAAACTTCTGTTTGTCATGCTGATGTATGGTTACAGATAAGGTGGCTCATAAAATACCCAAAGATCCCTTTTGTTGTGCGGCACTGAGCTGTGCACCTGTCTGAGATGAGATCATGTAAAAGACAAACTAATGAGTAACATACATGCCTGTTTTGCACTCTGCAGTGGCTGTCAACAGACATATATCTACACTGGATTAACAGATGAGCATCCATCTCTTTATGTCATTAGATCAAGACTATAGCCATTCTCAGCATTTTTTTTGTATAATGAAAATGATATTTTGATGTTTTATCTAAACTCTCTTCTGAATCTTGCAGGATTCATTTTCTTTAAGACAAACAATGTAGCCTCATCTACTCTTAAGATAAACAACTCATACGTCACATTTATCAACACAAAGATGGGTCGTACCTGTTGAATGCCAGCTGGTGGAATTTGCCACCCAGGAAAAAGAACAGACAGTCAGGCAGCACTGTACTGGTTTCAAAAGCAACATGAGACACCAATGAGAGCGCCAGGGAGGTCAAATAATCTGATCCGCAACCACAGATGCATTACACGTGTCACCAATACAGGAAGAAAATGGTGACTCTACATATTATAGATGTTTTACAATTTCTACAAACAGGGTGTTTTTCACACTACTGCACACCTCAAATCTGTAAAGATATTTCACCGTGCAGAATGTATCCTCCAACAACTTGCTGGTACCACTTTTGAATCATGCTGCAGTTACATCATTGCTCACATATGTTTTATTTTCCTTTCAGTCTCTGGTTTGTCACTGTGCTTGTCTCTTATACGCTCTGTGTAAACACAGCCTGCATGTCAGCCCAATAGTTCCAGAGTTTTTGGCCACGTCTGTTGGTTGCAGCTGAGTCAGATTTGGTTAATTTTTCTAATGGAATTGCAAGTTGTGCATCATGTATTCTACTGCAGTCGGAAAGTTGAAAATCTAATATCTCTGGCTGTGACACATGATGTAATTTGAGTGATTTTTAAGCATAAACATGCCTCTAAACCCACTGGTAGGTTGTGGAGTTCAGGAGGTCACATTTCTTTTTCATTATGTAATTTTTTAGTATTAACTGTGTGTCTACCCTGTTAAGTATAGCAGTTGCCCCTTTTGGTTACACAATAAACTATCTTGGAGATGCAAGAACACAACTAAACTCAGCTTCATTTGTAAAATTGATGGATCATTCCTTTATTGAAAACTCAGATACATCATCAGTAAATTCCCATGTGCATTACAGCCTAACCAGTGCGATTTGCCCATCAGACTACCTGTCCAGGATCATCACCAGCCACTCTGCTCACGCCTGTGACGGACAGCCTCTGCGACTCCACTGTCCACGTCACTCCACCATCTCCGTCCAGTCGGCCTTCTACGGGAGCGGCGAGGTGCGGCTGTGCAGAGCAGACCCAGACCTTCCACTCAGAGGCCACAACCACAGCTGTTCAGCTTTTACTGCTCTACAGGTGCATTTTATGTGTATGGGATATGCAGCACTTTGCACTCTTACTGGGTCAGTTCTTAATAGGTGGGTGTGCACTAGTTTTAGATGATGTAATGGAGTTGAATTGTCTCCATGTGTGTTTTAGCTTTGGAGTGAATGCCGTCATGCAGGTTTATAGAGGCACAGCCTGCTGTCTTCCATTTGTCAACCATTTAGTGCATCGTTCCTTGTTTGCATCTGATTTGGTTCTCTTTTTAAGCCCTTGCCTCACTCTGGATTGCCATATCAGATCCTGTGTATTTGTTGACCGCCTCTTCATTGTGCAGAAACTGTTGTCGGAGTGTCAGAGCCATAGAGATTGCCAGCTGCCTGTCAATCACCTGCTGTTTGGGAAGGACCCTTGCCCCGGCACAGCCAAATACCTCCATGTGCACTACAAGTGTAAACCCAGTGAGTTCAGCAGCTCACATCTCACTTGTCCCTGCTGTTTCAGCTTCAGTTTCTCTCACACATTCGCTGGAGAATGAGCGTGAAATAGCTGCACACCTACACACGGTTTCTCACACCCATCGGACCCTCCACCTCCTCAACCTTACTATTTTCCCCCCTCATTCAGCTGAACACAAAAGACATGTGGTATGTGAAGGAGAGACCATGGTCCTGCGCTGTAAGCCCCCCAGGGTGCTGAACATCTACGCAGCTGTCTACGGGCGAAGTCTGGGTCAGACGGACACCTGCCCTTCACACCTGACAAGACCACCCCCATTTGGTGAGTTGATGTGAGTTTTATACTGTCAGACAAGTTTTGAAAAAAGTCTTCATAAACCAATGGGAATTCTGTTTATTTCACTACTTTACATAGTGAGAGATGACAGAAAGTTTTAGCAAACAGTTAAACTGGTAACATCTACTAATGGCTCTCACATGTGTTTCCTTGTTTAATTAGTGTAAGTAAGCACAACCATCACTATTTTGATTAGTAGCATCTGGTGGCCTCATGTGACACTGATACTGTGACGGTGAGACAGAACCTTAAAACCCTAAAAGGTATTCTGGCATCTTTAATTGTATCACTTACCAGCTTTACTTTTCCTGCTGAGGCTTATCAATAGAATTATGGCAGGTGGTGACATGAATAGAAGTCCTATGGAAATGTCAGCGCCAATCTGTTCAGTAAAGTCTGAAATTTGCTTTAAAATACAAAAATAAATAAAAAAAGATTTATGGGGAACATGACCTTTATACACACAAGCAAACATAACATGGTATTGTTTTTTTTATTTTTATTTTTAATGGCACACATTTTCACATGCCTTAAAAAAACAGGTGTGTAAGTAAGGACATCGATAATGGCTGCATTCCATTTGTCTCGGCCAGTGTCAGTGTAAGTGGCTACACCTGTGCTTTTCCTGGCATTGCAACTCAAACAGTGGATGCGTTCCAATATCCAGACTACCGTCCTATACAGTGCGCCCGAAAAAGATTTAGTAAGTCCCAATACATAGCATGTCAAAATGCAGTCTGCCAAAAATACCAGGATGTCTTACTACACACGGTTTCATTTTGCAGCGTGCTTCTCTGGCTATTCTGACCCACAATCCTTTGCACATTAGAGGATACCTCACATATGTCACAGTGTCTCCTTCAAGTAATGAGCTTGAGCTGCCAAGAGTTCACAGACAGACTAGAGCTAATGTCACACTGCAGACTGTGACGGATACATGAGCAAGATGGTGAAAGCTGAAGGGGCAATATAATGGCAAAAAAAAAAAAAAAAATTTCCAATTGTATGCATACTGAGTGTAATAATATGTACTTTTTAGTGGCAGCTGCAGTCCATACTAAAAGGAAAATAAAAACATATGCGATCTGGAATGCAGGGAGAGTGTGGTCTGAGACAGTAGTTAAATTTCATTGTGATTTGATTCAATGAAACTTTACAATAATATGATACAATGCTTTAAGGTAACTTCATTATCTGGGCATTTCCTTATTTAAAATTAATAAAAACAATTTAAAGATTAAATATGACATTGAACTAACATAGATGCATTAAGTTAATTATCTGCTTTGCTGGATTAAACAAACAAAAAACAAAAGGCCGACTGTAGAAAGAGGGAATTTTATTGTAGCTAAACTTCAACCAAACTCCTGTAAAACGTTGAATCATTGTTATTGCAGCCGACGTGCACATCAGTGAACACACAAATGTGGTGCTTTCTATTCAGTAAATGAATCTCTATGTGTCTCTTTGCTCCTCCCTACAGAGTGTCTGAACCACGAGGCTGTACACTTGGTGTCCAAGTCCTGCTACAACAAACAGAAGTGCGCCGTTGCCGTGAGCAACCAGACCTTTAGAGACCCCTGCTTTCCAGGAACCAGGAAGTACCTCAGTGTGATCTATTCTTGTGGTAGGACTCTCTCTGCTTCCTCATTCACAAAGCATAATTACAAGTGACGAATCAGTTTCAAAATGGGAACCGCCTGTCGTTGATGATTCACGTCATGTGTGCTTTTGTTTTGGCCTCTTTGATTATGTGACAGTTCCTTCAGCGAACGTTTGTACCTTCCTACTGTGAATTCTTATCTGCTGATCCCAGCCATCAGCTGCTCCTATCCTCTCACACCCAACAACACAGTAGCAAGGAATAATAAGCTGTGACTCAGATTTGCAAGCTAAAGTTGACATCCTGGTAAACTTCCTGCAATTGGCACAAATGCCAGTGAGGTCATCCAGCAACATTGTTCATGTATCATAATTCGTAGTTGTGACTTAAGCCTGGTGTTGAAAGAATTCCTTTGGCACTGTTGGCTTGATCTAGAGCAAAACAATGCGTGGTAACCTTGTAGGCCGGTTATTAATACAATCGGACAGAAAGTATTCATGATTGGAGAGTGTAGTGCTATTGTGGGACCAGTTTGGATGGAGGAGGTAACTTGCTGACAAATGGTTTGCTGTAGATTCACCAATACACAGCTACTGAGTCAATTTGTTTGCAGCAACACAAAGACTCTTCTGTCTTCTTTCAAATAGTACCACAGACTTTACTGAGGGAAGCAGACCCGAACATATTCAGCTCCACCTCATCTCCCACCGTGGATACAGAGAAAGGTAACGCCATCATGAAGTTTGTGGTAATTCCATCTTTTTAAGGTCTTTTCTCCACATCATACTTGTCATTTTCACAACAGCCTCTACTGCACATCCGGAGGAGCCTTTTTCCACAAGTCAGCCCGACAGCTCAGGAGCTATGATGAGCAACTCTCTCCTGACTTATGCCTACATCAAAGGTAATGTTTTTTTTTACATGCATACACTTGCGCAAACACATCCAGATCCATGTTTTGTTACAACTCTTCGCCATATTTCCCACACAGAGCACCCAGAAATGGCAGCGCTACTGTTTACCTCCAGCGTGTGCGTTGGTCTTCTCATCACGCTGCTGGCCGTGTCTGTCCGAGTGACCTGCAGAGGGCGGCAGCTCAGAGATCAAAGACTCGCACCCAAGTCTGCTAGCCAGGAGGAGGATGACGATGAGGACGATGATGAAGATGATGATGATGATGACGGCGAGGGAACAGAAAACTCTTTAATCTCAGCTGTTGACAGGAAGGCGCTGCACGGCTGGGAGGAGGTGACTTATGTGAGCGAGGCGGCCGAACGGGCCGAGAGGATTGAGCGGAGAGAGATGATCATGCAGGAGATCTGGATGAACTCTTATCTGAACGGCAGCTCATGTTAAATCCATCATGGACCAATGGATGCTATTCTGCATCTTCAGGACTTTTTTTTTTTTCATGATGCAGGTCTTTGCGATGGATTATTGATGCCCCGAGAAACGTTTTGTTGTGTTTTGCAATTTCATGCTGCAAAGAGGGTGGGCATTGGGCATTAACGTGGTGCATTTATTCATCATTAAATGAAGCTCAGATTTTAGGCTAAAATGTTGTTTACTACAAAAAGAGCAAAATCACCGGTGAGTGGCCATGAAGCTCTCACGTCATTAAAGAACATTACTGATTCATTGTCAAGCAGCTTCAGAGCAGCTGTACTGGTGATATAAACCAAAGAACATATCAGGGACCATGAAAACAGCGTCAGCTCTAATCCAAAACCGCCTTTCAAAATCAGGATTAAATCAGAGAAGATGTTTTTTAAACACATTTTAAATAAATGTTTTTTTTTTATATATTTGTGGTAAACAATTTTTAATGCTCATTTTAAAAAAAAATGGCAAAAGTCATTTTGATTTGTTTTGACAGACAAAAATAGGCAATTACAATGTTTTTAGTCCCTGTAGTATAACTACATTAGTGGTAGTTAAACTTGGCAGCTATTTACAAAAGAGACTATCTAGTTCCACCTGCCATAACTGTCTCTTTAAAGAGGCGTCAGATTTGAATATACAGCAGTGAGAGTTATCCTCGCATTACATGTTGAAGGTTTTTTATGCAGTATTCCTTGAAACTGGCCACACCTCTTTGAATCACGGCACCAGCGCCACCCACAGTTTCCAGTGTGTGAAACAGTCTGACCTCTACAGCTTGCTCGTCCCTGCTGGGGTGACCATCTACTGCTACGTAGCACCTTCCTGCCTCAGAGCAGCACCGACTTTCAGAGATGCGTGTGCCACTAATAAGAGACAAAGAGAGGAAAGGTGTTGCATCCTTGTCCCTGCACTCCAAGGGAAGTCATGGGACCTTTATACATAATTATTACAAAATGTAACAACACTGTGTATAGATTACACTGGAAAATGTCAAGTTTTATTTTTCTTTTTACACGCAGAAAAAAATTACAGATTATACTTTTTTCTAACTTTTGTTTGCACAGCTTCAATAAAAATGTGTAAAACAGTAAAGCAATTCGAGGATCAAAATTTTTTTCTAATAAATTGGGTTTTTTATGACATCAACCTCTATGTGATATTATTACCTGTTCTTTCATATATATATATATATATACGTGCAGCTCAGTTACAGTGTATGGCAGTTGTTTACTCTAGAAATACATGTACTTCCTGCAATAAGATCACATCAGCTGTACATATAATTTTCTTTGGAAGACCTCGAATAACAACAACTGGAAGCTGATTTTAGGATTGCGATAAGGCATCTTGGCCAGCTGCATATAGAGCTCTTCCGTAAGCAGCTCCGGTCGGTATTGTGAGTGGTACTGGCCTTCATCTTGGTCCCCATTTGATATTTGTGAGGCCTTGAAACTGTTTTTTGAGAGCCCCTCTGTCTGACCACTCTGAGTCCAGGTAGCTGTCATCGTCTGCCTCCTCAAGTTTCTGAAAATGTAATGAGGAAAAGGTGAGATGGCATTTCCAGCCCAAACAGGAACATGGAACATAGAGTACTGCTTTGCCTTTCCTCACCTTGAGCTCCTCTTGCCTTCTGTGGTAATGCATCATCATCTGTTTCTGCTGCTCATCCGTGATCAGGGGCTCTCTCGCTGGTGCCCCCTGTCCTTTCTGAAGTGCATAGCAACAACGAGATAAAAATTACCCTCAAAAGCAACTAAAACATAAAACAACACACATATTGTCTCTCCCAGGAGACAAAACATACTCGTTTCAGATTGGTGAAATTACTTACCTTTTGTATTTTGACCACAAGCTTTGTCTTTTCATTTTTGCCAATGTAGTCCTGCAATTTCTTCCCCCTCTGCATCTCTTTGGCAGCCCACCAGAGCTGGCATTCGTCCTCCGTGATCACCTGCAGAGAAGCCTGAGGTACAGAGACAGATGGTGAGGGCAGAGGTAGAGGAATGAGGGCAAAAGGAATTAAGCAGACAGTGAAAATAGCTTCACGAACCCCGAAAGACAAAAAAGAGAGACCATTTGAAAAGAAGCAAAACCTCTAATGATCCTGTTGGTGACTCAAGATGTAAATAATCTTCTTAAAAACAATAGAAACTGTAATCTAAGCCTTTATTGTTTACTCAAAACTATGTTTTGTGGCCAGCGTCCAAAAGCTGTCTGAGCTGTTTACCTGTGTTCCTGAAAGGTCTTCCTGGTCCTCAAACTCCATCCTGATAGGGTCATGAGGAGGAAGCCCCATGGGGTACACAATCATGACTGCACCCCTCAGTTGATCTAGCGCTTCTTTTACCATCTCCGTAGTGACACAAACACTAGCTTGAGCTTGTTTCTGCAGGAGGAGGAAAAAGAGAGATTGAATCAATTTGTGACTCTTTTGGTGAATACAGCAAGAAGTGATGATCTACTGTTCTTTAAAACACTTACTTTGGAGATCAGGGCCTTCGCCTCCTCCACTGTTCGCATCAACACCTCTTTCATTTTATCATTTGGAGCTGGTGGAAGGTAAAGAGATTTTTTTAATGGCATGTATTCATATAAAATAAAAGAAATACTAAAATTAAAGCTGCAAGCAGCGTTGGTCGGGTCGTTGGTCTGCGTTGCAACTTCATGCCCGTCTGACCGTTCTTCAAGTTAAACCTGCTTTAAGTTGATGGAGCCATGTTTTTCTCTTTGCTCAGCCTGTCAGTGAGTCGCATGAGCAGCTGCACTGAGCAGTGGCAGCTCATGAACTTTAACGGCTCGCCATTCGAAAACCGTTTGAGAAACGCCAAATCCCTTCAGACCTTTTGTACATCAAGGCCTTCTCTGTCTCCTGTGCGATTTTCAAGTTGATACGATTTACGGTGTCAGACAAGATAATGTTTTTCCAAAAGATGTTTTTAATTATTTATTTATTTATTTATTTATTCCACAGGTGTAAGCAGAGTAAAGCTATGTCCACATATGTTAGATTTTGCAATTCCCATTCCAAACCCCAAACAATGGCCAAAAAATGGACCACAGGTGTCAAGGTTTTTCTGACAACATTAAACATGCATTTGCTTGTATTTACTGGTAAACGATGACATTTACAAACAAGAGCCCGAGCCTCACCTTGTCCGTTCCTCCTCCCAATCTCATCCTTTTTGAATACTGGCCCTCCACTGGGGATGCAACTGTCTTCCCATTCATCCTTCAGTTTCAGCTCCACAACCTGCTCCTCTGTCAGGCCCTGCATGTTGGGCGGCAGTGCGATGCCATGGTCTGCCAGCTCTGGGATCTCTGCACAGAGGAACAAGCAAGCCTATGTCACTGCATCCTCCAAGACTGAATGATTGTATTGTTGTTGTTAGTGCAGGACGAAAATGCTCTTGTACCAATATTGATGTGCAGAGTTAAAGTCTTAGCCATTCATTTACAATAGCATAACTAGGCTAGTAAGACTCTGCCAATAAGCAGCTCTCTTTGTAAACAATAATAAGCAGGAAATGTGAGCCTGCTGAAGTTTCTCCTCCTTACAGCGAGTGCAGGCAGCACTGGGGATATGTTTTCACCTGAACACAATCTGTCCACTTTGAGTCTCCCGTTGTAAATGGCTGTAATTTGCTGGATCACCGTCTCCAGAGGCGCGTCCACTGTGGTGTTGAAAAGAAACTGGCTTTCATCTCCACGCTTCACATGCAGCTGCACCATCCTGCCACCTGCTAAAAGAGACGTTTAAAGGATGTAAGTTCACCCCTTAATACACGACGACTTTGTCTGCATAAAAGCAGTGCCCGGGAACGTTGGAGAAACAGAGTAACCATAGCAACAGAGGTGTGTGGACACTTCTAGAAAACATCAAGCTAACATTAGCTTCTAGCTAGCTGGCTGAGGCAGATGTTTACATTCACTGGCACAGTCTTGTTAACATGTCATTTCTCCACAGAGGCAGTAGTGAAGACACTAACCTGTGTGGTAAAACGACAAACACAACACGTTTCTTCTACTGTTCAGACTGGACTCATACTTTGTTTACAACCGGTGGCATGACTCCTCAATGAGGTCCGCTCACTTCTTCTACTGAGCTCCGTCAGACAGGTTACATTAACGCAGTGTTGCTTTACTGCCCCCTAATGGCAAACAGTGGTAATACAGTATTTTGTGCAATGAAGAAAAAGGACTTGCTTGTATGAAACTGACTCCCTAAATTGTTCTATTAACCAACCATAAAATCTACAAGTGTGCCTCCAATTAACTCAAATGTTGTCAATTAACCTATCAAAAGCTTACAAAGCCATGACATCATCATCTCGGTTTTCCCAAATAGTTTGAAGGCACAGTAATCTTAGTGCATATAAACTTTTTTTTTTTATTTTTTTAGAGAAAATAATAAAAATTTCTCTAAAAACTTCTCTCTCTCTCATTATTCTGGTGTTTAGCAAATAGGAATAATATAGGTAATCCTAACTGACCTAAAACAGGAAAAGTTTAGTCACAGTTAATGTCAAACAGTGAGAAAAAAAAGATTATGTGTCTTTTTATAGTGTCTGTAAACTTCTGATTTCAACTGTATTTGTCATCTACTGAGAAAATCTGAACTAAAAGATGCTCAGTACATGCACACCTAATTTTGTTTCAGCAACATCTCTATAAACAATTTCTTATACAAAGACCCTATTTATTTATTTATTTGTTTTTTTTTTTTAAATCTTCGCTATTGTATTAACTTATTAACAGTAATTTTAAGCTATTGTTAAGGACATTTTAATGGTATAGTTAACTGATAGATTAATGGATTTAAAAAAAAAAAAAAAGAAAGAATGTCTATTTGGATTTCTTTATTGGTTTACAGTGTTTTTAAGGGGAAAAATGAAGTTGCATCATCTGGTAAGGGATATACCATATATACATAATATCCAGAGTAATTCAACACATTTGCTGACACTAGTCTTAAAAAAAAACAAGATCGTTCTAAAAAATAAGTAGCATTTAGGAAATATTATGACCAGATTATATGATTAGAATATTTTCAAATAAGAGTAAACTCAGTATTTAGGTTGGTATTCGATATGGTTACGCAATACAGATATCTAATGAATATTTGTTTTATACTGATAAAATCTGAGGTAAAAGATTAAAATACTGATGCCAAAACAAAGGATTTCAGTGCTTGTGCACCTACTTCTGTTGTAGCAACAAACATCTCCATTCACAAATGGATGGTAAAATGTCTACACAACTGAATTTTGAGTCGTGTAAGATCCATTTACAGGTAGGACTGTGTATAAATTATATGTTGTGCAATCAAGTTACAGCCTGCAGTCAAAAATGACAAACACTTGTGTCAACGTACATTTATTTTGCATACATACAACATAAACTGCTTCATACATAAATGTGCCATCTGCTGTGCACTTAAAATATGGAACGTTGGATATTAACATGAATTACAGCTTCATGTTTTGCACTTTAATACATACAGAATATGTTCCACAACACAGACTCTTATTTACTATGGATTATAGCCATAAAAAGGGACACCAACCTCACAAAAGGAGCAATTTTGTTGCCTATAAAATCTCATCTTGAACCGTGACATGACACAAAGCGCTGGCTAGTCACCTACTGTTAATGCAGATACAGTATCTACTGCGCACATTTGGATAACACAATAAATGCATTTAAGAGATGACACTGACATGTAAGCAAAGGCAGCCTGATACACTTGCTTACATAGATAGCTACTGCTTCTGATGCAGTGAATGAAGATTTTTTTTTTTTGTCTTATTTTACATGTGTTTAAACAGAGCGTAGAAGCTTTAGTTAGCTGGGAGTTTCTTAAGTCTGATGCTTCTTCTTCTTCCGTGTTCCATCAAATTGCTTTTCAGACATTTAAGCCGGTAAAATAATTTCCGAGGGCTGGGGCAAACAGCGTGTGTTTAGACTCCAACAGCTGGCGTGTGTTGTGTCGGGGAGGATGGTACGACCGCTGATCTATTGCCCTGTCAACATGAATGCCGACCATCAGCAGTGAAAGTAGGTAGTACAGGGTGAAATACTGACACATCACCTCTGACAATACCACACACACACACGCACATACACACACACACATACCTCAAGAATGGTAAAGATATCAGAGAGTTTCAGTAACAAACACCCTCAACTGGAGGAAACAACTATGGGTTAGATATCACAAGTGGATCTGCAAACGCTGAGAAGAGTTTCACACCCAACATTCAAATCACACTACTATCTGAGGCCACACTGCGCCTGAGAAAGACAACAGTAAACTGGAAATGTTATCTGGTGATGCATTTGCGCCTGAGCATACTGTGTAGTTCAGTCAAGGTGGTGAATAATCTGTTAAGTGTTGCTACAAGGGAATTCTCATTTAGGTGGTGCGTGCTTTTTGAGAAAAAAAAAAGTCCTGCCTTGTATTGTTAGCATTTTCGCATACAGTGAAGCCTTTCCGTAGCCGCTGGCAGGCAAGAGAGAAAATACACAGTTACAGCCATGAGCGAGTGAATACAGTGGCTGTTAGTTCAGAACCTGTAAGGAAATACACTGCTTGTACTGAAAAGAGAAGACTTCCTAAGGGAACAACTCTGGTATTCCACTCTTAACTCTGTACACACACCCACATCCAAACACAAACACTGTTAAACACGACAAAGGACGATATGCACCTCAAATACATTACATCACTTCTCACCACAGTAACGATAGTAGATTATTTTAGAGTAAATGCTATTAGAAATGATAAGCATGACTTTTTCCAAAAAACAAAACGTTGAAGTAAAAAAAAAAAAGTGCCCTCTTGTTATTATGGATGGCAGGTGCTCGCTGCCGTGTCCACAGACCAGAATCACATCGTCTTCGTACTCTGAGCAACAGTACACACACAAGCACACCACATTCTCTGAATTTACAACAGTATGGTTGGATGCTTTGGATAAATCTAGAAGGATCCAAACACTGCAGAGTGGAGGGAAATTAAACAGCGCTCACATCTGTTCAATCTGCAGGCCCTCAATTGATGCCATCAACACACAATACAACCTGGAGAGCACACACAGCATTTCAGTGCATATCAGTTACTTTGTGCAAACCACTAACATGGTCATCACGTATACACACATTTAGCGAGTAGTTTCCATATTGAAAACATACATTTATACATAATCACTATGTATAGGTTTTTGATATAGAGCTACAAAATACCTCCAGCTGAGCATAACCACCTATCAACAAAAAAAAAAAGATGACTGAATAGAGAAAATACGTAATGCCTTACTGTCATGTGGATGAGATATTACAGAGCATCAGTCCTGTGGCAGTGAACAGTTTGACTGACTTGGACTCGTGCTGTTCAATTTGACACTGTGGTGTCAGCAGCGAGGCGATGACAAAACCCAGTGCAAAGTAAAGTACATTCATGGTAAAAGCAAGCACACAATGTCACTTTTAAATTTGCATCCTCGCAAGTCAAAGCAACCTGATTGCTGCATGCAGCAGCAAATGTGGGGGCAAATGCAAAACCTGCAGTGTGTAGCCTCCTGCTATGAGACAAAACCAAGAAAGTAGAAGGTTACCATTGACCTCTGAGAATTCCACTCTGATGAACAGATCCGTCAGAATGAGGGATATGAACCACAGTGTGTCAGCAGATGTAGTGACTGCGAAGGTACACAGATTTAGGTGAAACCTTGCAAGCAAATGCAGCGTGCTGCACAGCCACACAAACGTGTCTTGATATTGCACAGGTGGTTACACACGATTTGTGCGTATAGATATAGTTTATATAACAATATATGGTAAGACACAGGCACATGTTTGCTGCCATAAATAAAAATAAACGTCAGAACGATTCATAGTAAAATAAGTGTTAATATCAGGGAACAAGCAAACATCTCTGTCGTAAAGTTAGAACACACATTTAGGCTCACTCACTTCTCACGTTACTGCTCCAGATATAAATCCTTTCCTGTGACTCAGAAGGGGATTGGTCTATTCTTCTTAAATACTGTCTCTTTTGTACATACACACACACATATACACATTTATCATAGATCTATACATATCTGGATATGCCCTTTATATGTGAAGGGTGATCCTATCTTTCCGTCGACTCCCTTGGGAACAAGCAGTTGTCACTGGGTCCCTCTGGGAGCCTTTTGTTACTGGTTGCAGTTCTATCTGGGATGGGAGGAGGGAGCGTAGGGAATGCTGCAGGGGCAGAGGACAACCACTTGGGCTCTGAGTCAAACACAGAGCTTGAAGGCTGAGTCTGACTTTGGGACAGTAGAGAACTGGAAGGGAAGACAGGGTTCTGCTGTGTTTTGGTTGAAGGTGGAAAATCCAAATCATCATCAAAAGTGACCCACTGCTGAGCTGGTTTCCCTCCTGGGGGAGGTGGCTGGCGACGAGGTGCAAAGGCAAGTGGAGTGGAGGAGGGCGGAGCCAGAGGCAGGGCAGGGGCGGGAGACAGTTCAGGGGCGAGAGGGAGCAGAGGAGCTGGTGAGGGATTAAGACTGGATGATGGTCCAAACAGGGAGGTGGTCCTGTGGAGCTGGGAGGTGGGTGCAGCTGCAGGGGTGGGGATGAGTGGTGGATTGAGAGCAGACATGGTTCTTTGAAGGTTTGCTGTTGGGGCTTGATGCTGGAAGCTGAAGTCTGGGGTGAGCGCTCGCCGCTGCTGATGCTGCTGCGCTAGTGGGCCTGTGAAGGGATTGGTGCTGCTGGGTCGGGCGGGCAGCAGGTCAGTCGGGAGGGGGCTAGGGGAGGCACGCAGCGTCTCCTGAGAGCGACTGCGAGACGGGACCGGGGGAGGTGGGAGCAGCGAGGAAGCGAATGGTGAGGGGGTGGAGAGTGAGGAAGAGGAGGAGGAATCGAAAGCCTGCAGGTCTGATAGAGCAGAGGACTGGGCAGAGAAGGATGAAGGGAGCGTGGTGGAGGAAAACGCAGATGGAGGAACGGAGGGGGGAGAACGCAGAGAAGAGCCTCTGGTCAGGGACTGGGTGGTGTGCCAGGTAGATGAGGAGGAGGTTGAGGAGGACAGGAAGTCAGA